GGGACATTAAGATTAACACGGCTGGTGTGATATGGTTCTAGGCATCCAATACAACTAGGGCAAGTCATCATTCGTCTAGTAGGAGTTCAACTGTTTTTATCTAGTGAAGTTAATAGTTATCCACAGCACTTTAACACGGTCTAGTGGAGTTATCCACAGCACTTTAACACGGTCTAGTGGAGTTATCCACAGCACTTTAACACGGTCTAGTGGAGTTATCCACAGCACTTTAACACGGTCTAGTGGAGTTATCCACAGCACTTTAACACGGTCTAGTGGAGTTATCCACAGCACTTTAACACGGTCTAGTGGAGTTATCCACAGCACTTTAACATGGCCTAGTGGAGTTATCCACATCGCTATACTGTAGCCTAATAGTTATCCACAGCACTTTACCATGGCCTATATAGTTATCCACGGGACGGAGTGGCCTAGCGGTAAAGAGCTAGACTGCTAACCCGAAAGTCTCGAGTTCGAAACCTGTATATAATCAGTAGAACATCACGTTTATAGAGTTATCCACACCACTCTACAGTGGCCCAATAATTATCCACAGCACTTTACCATGGCCTAAAAATTATCCACACCACTGTACCATGTCCTAATAGAGTTATCCACATCACTCTACAGTGGCCCAATAATTATCCACAGCACTCTACAGTGGCCCAATAATTATCCACAGCACTTTACCATGGCCTAAAAATTATCCACACCACTCTAAAGTGGCACAATAATTATCCACACCACTCTACAGTGGGCCAATAATTATCCACAGCACTTTACCATGGCCTAAAAATTATCCACACCACTCTAAAGTGGCCCAATAATTATCCACACCACTCTACAGTGGCCCAATAATTATCCACATCACTGTACCATGGCCTATAGAATTATCCACATCACTGTACCATGGCCTAATGTTACAGGCTCACCCAACATTTGCACAAGAAAATGAACAAACGTTGTAACAACAGATGTACAAATGTAATTATTTCAACAATAAATAGCTATCAAGCAGAAAAAAAGCACAATATCTATTGATGTATCATATAAACTATTCTATTGTAATTAGTAGCAGGGAGAAGCTCACATATCAGCTTGGGTTATGATTACATGTACAACATGGATGGAGGGCTGGGACTGACCAACTACAGTGTAACAAAAACTGGGGGGTGGGGGGGGGGGAGGAGTGGACCAGTGAACTGGCCTAGCTGGGTCACAAAGTTGAAGAAACAGCAGGGGGGGGGGGGGACTGACAAATTATCAATGTTCATAAAAAATGAAATGGGAAGAAGGGGGTGGGATGAGGAAGACCAGTGTACTAGCCAACTACAGAAGACTTCTGCAGTTGTCCAGTACACTGAGGTGACCAACACTGACCAGGGCTGGGACTGGCCACTGCAAGTCAGGGCTGACAGCTATACATGCTGCTGTCAACAATGACAGCTACACATGCTGCTGTCAACAATGACAGCTACACATGCTGCTGTCAACAATGACAGCTACACATGCTGCTGTCCACAATGACAGCTACACATGCTGCTGTCAACAATGACAGCTACACATGCTGCTGTCAACAATGACAGCTACACATGCTACTGTCAACAATGACAGCTAGACATGCTGCTGTCAACAATGACAGCTACACATGCTGCTGTCAACAATGACAGCTAGACATGCTGCTGTCAACAATGACAGCTAGACATGCTGCTGTCAACAATGACAGCTACACATGCTGCTGTCAACAATGACAGCTACACATGCTGCTGTCAACAATGACAGCTAGACATGCTGCTGTCAACAAGGACAGCTAGACATGCTGCTGTCAACAATGACAGCTACACATGCTGCTGTCAACAATGACAGCTACACATGCTGCTGTCAACAAAAGGCATGTTAACATTAGAAAAAATACCATTCAGCCTAACTCTACAATTAGATCTAGTTGGTTCTTACTTCAACTCCTGTAAACAGAGTAATCTCAACAATGTATGTAATACATAATGAAAATGTTCCCTGTTGATGTAAAATTAGAATTTTCCCCGGTAAAGAGTATTTTTCCACCATGAAATTGTTTGGCTATTGATTTGGGTACAATATTCCAAGGCAAAGTTCATTTTTTCAATGAAATGTTCAGTTATTGAATTAAAAATGAGGATTCCCCTGGATATGAGCATTTACCTCCTGTTATGCATTTACATAATGTTTTTAGGCAATGAGCAGTATTTCAATGAAATCTTCCCAGCTATTCTATTAGTAATGTTAGAGCACCCAGATAATGGGATTTTCCCCGTAATGCACATTTTTGTAAGAGTAACCATGTGTGAATAGGTAAACAAACAGATTGTTCATCAACCGTAATTAGCATAGAGATAATTAATGTGCACCTTTTCCATCAGCAGAGGCATCTTAAGCAAGAAAACACCAACATCACCTAAAATCTCATCACAAGAAAACACCAATTTTACCAAACTATTTCACCAAAAGCAAACACCAATTTTACCAAACTATTTCAAAATAAGAAAACACCAATTTTACCAAACTATTTCACCAAAAGAAAACAATTTTACCAAATTTTTTCACCACAACAGACCAATTTTAGTTGAAGAACAGCTAATAACTCATACCATGCAACTGCCAGTTTTCCCCTTTTCTTGGAGGAGACAAAAACTGATATCAAATCTATACTTGTTGAGTTAATAAAAAAAATGTTCCAATAAACACATATTGCCATTTCTCTCATCAACAATTGTAATCAACAGATGACTAGTTCTTACAGGATCTCAACAGTTGTGCCCTACATTACAAACATATCCTACTTTATGCTCACAATACAGAGGTCCCAACACTACAGAGCAGAGGTCCCAACACTACAGAGCAGAGGTCCCAACACTACAGAGCAGAGGTCCCATCACTACAGAGCAGAGGTCCCAACACTACAGAGCAGAGGTCCCAACACTACAGAGCAGAGGTCCCAACACTACAGAGCAGAGGTCCCAACACTACAGAGCAGAGGTCCCAACACTACAGAGCAGAGGTCACAACACTACAGTGCAGAGGTCCCAACACTACAGAGCAGAGGTCCCAACACTACAGAGCAGAGGTCCCAACACTACAGAGCAGAGGGCCCAACACTACAGAGCAGAGGTCCCAACACTACAGAGCAGAGGTCCCAACACTACAGAGCAGAGGTCCCAACACTACAGAGCAGAGGTCCCAAACAAATTTCTTTACTTGCTTAGAATCAAATCATTTTTAAATTAACAATGTAGGTATAGGTACCAGAAGTAGTGTAACATGTCCACTATGCATATCTTGGAAATAAAAACTTGCAAAAGTTATTGTCATATGAAAACATTTTTCCCAAGGAACATGTATACTAACTTGCTGCAAGTTTTTTTTTCTAGACAAGTATTGTATACGTGTTGCAATAGTGCAAACATTGTGTTACAATATAAATTACAACAGATTTTTGAACAGACAGTAGCCAGGGGAAAGTAGGTCAAGATGGCAGAGAAACCAAGGGAATTAATACACATTGTTGTAATAAAAAAACAGGCTAATGATATCAATAGCTCTACCAATTAGTAAATTACAAAATATCCTATTTTAATTGAAAATAAGGTTGGACAGATTGTAAATGAAACTACTCAGAGATTGTAAGTTGTGCATTGTTTACTAAGGTCAGCTTTTATTCATTCAAGCTTTAAAAAAATTAAAGCTAGTTGTATCTATGTACAATTTAAAATAAAATAGCATTGTGGGAAATGTTTATGATGTACAGTTTGAATATCAGTTTGCAATTTTATATGATATACAATTTGTGCTTAAAAAGTTTGTAATTTTATCAAATTGTACAATTTTTGTTTTCATAGTAGTTGCTATGATGGTTGTAATGTTAGCTAGTAAAAAAATAATAACATTACTTTCCACCATTGCAAATAAATGTAAACTTTCTGTGTTTGTTACTGTAAGCGAGCAGTAATGAATGTCAAATTTTATGGCTTGATACTAAAGCAGATGGAAGATCAGTTACAAATACAACAATAGGATACTAAACCACAGCTAATCAAAGAGAATGGGCAGACCTAGTGGCCATAAATAGTTTGTAAATATTGTGGCTTTCATCTGCACAAAATGGGTACAAAATACAATTAGCAATGAATAGGAAACAGAACAAATAAATTATACATTATACAGACATATTTATCTAGTAATATTTACAATTAATATAAAGATAAGAAAAACTTAAATGTGTAAGGTATAAACAATATGTAACACAACAAACCTCAGTCAAGTGTAAACAATGTAACAATGAAATAAGTCAAATATCATTGGAGAACCAAAGGGTGAGCAGTCATATGACTGTGTGATGACATATTCTATCTTGTTATAAGACAAGTTATATCACTGGTGGTTTCAGGTAGATGAATGTTAATGGTAGTGTCAAGTAGTTTATACTAGTGTCAAATAGTTTATATAGTAGTAGTAGTTTATCTGGTAGTCTCAGATTATTTTATCACTGATAGTGTGAAGCAGTTTGTGTTTACTGGTTATGTCAGGTGTTTTATGATTGGTAATCCTAAACAAAAACACAATGTAATGTTAGTTAACTGATAAAAAATAATTTAACTGATTCAAATATATACAACCAGGCCCATGGCAGAATATACTGCAAAGTCAAACATGTCTTCTGTCACACTGACAATGTCCACCATCACATGGACAGTGTCCACTGTCATGACAACAATGTCCACTGTCATGACAGCATCCACCATCACATGGACAGTGTCCACTGTCATGACAACAATGTCCACTGCCACACTGACAACATCCATCATCACATGGACAGTGTCCACTGTCATGACAACAATGTCCACTGTCATGACAGCATCCACCATCACATGGACAGTGTCCACTGTCATGACAACAATGTCCACTGCCACACTGACAACATCCACCATCACATGGACAGTGTCCACTGTCATGACAACAATGTCCACTGCCACATTGACAATGTCCACCATCACATGGACAATGTCTAATGTCATGACAACAATGTCCACTGCCCATTAAAAATGTTCACTACTGTCATTATAATGCTGATGCTAATGATCAATCAACAACACCTATGATTAAACAAAGAACTGAAACACAAAGAGTTAAAAAATTAAACACACAAAAGAACTGATTTCAGTTAATGCCACAATTCTTTGCACAATAAAATTATGGTCCAACATTTGGTCTTCAAGAATTGTATGTCAATTTATAGGAGAAAAGATAATCTTACCAACTACTTTAGAAGTTACGGTCAACATGACAATCTCACTAGGTAAATTATTTGGATGATACTCAAACTGGTTTACACTATTACTTTTAATGTAAAAGTAATAACTATAAACCTTATAAAAAAATTGGTGATTGTTTAAAATGTACACCTGAATAAGAGTTTCTAAAGCTTCTGACAATCAGGGTTTGAAATAAACTTATTTAATATATGCTGTAAGCCTTAAGGATAATCCCCTCCCCACTGTAAAACACTAGATAATCTATTACCAATACACTACTTTGTTGATATTTTAAAATTTACTTAGACAACACTTGTTTGCTAGGTTGACTTGATAAATTTGAGCAGTACTGTCTTGAGCCACTAATCCTAATAAGTGTTAATAAGGTTAATCCATGTGTTAGATAACTACAACCCAACCGCAGTCATACAGCAAGACTTTGCTATTTATAACAACTTAAAAATTATGATATATAAATCACTATTTTGCATGACAGCTCACTGACAGGTAATCCTTTTTAATATATAAGGACCATTGGTTAAATAAAGAACTATTATTTTTTACTTGTTGTAGGCAAAGATACATAATTATATAAACAGCATCTAGATGCAGTAAGTTTTTACTTTAGTAACTAAATAAATAATTGTTATAATGATACACAAAATATCTGTAACAGATTCAAATTTAAATATGATTAAACGTTTAATCAATTTGCCAGTAATGGCTTGAATGTTGAGGACATCAAAAACAAAAATGTCTATTTGAATTGTGTTACTTGTATGTAAAGTATACATGGAGTGATGAATTATCCACCATCACTGTCCTCAAGTTTGATCTGCTACTATATGTGGATTGATGCGAGTTATCCACTATCACTGTCACTGTCCTCTAGTGTCACTTGCTGCATGCTATTGATAAGGCCCTGGCGCTGGGCATGTTCAATGACTGCTTGGTGGCAGAAGACATACTGGTCTGGCATCTGTATGGAGAAAGCTCTCTGGGACCTGATTCTTCTCACTGTCTCTTTCACGTCTACAGTACCCACATGTTCTAGGCAGCGCAGGCAGATGTCAACAGTGATGAAAGTACCTACAACAGATCAACAGTGATGAAAGTACCAACAACAAATCAACAGTGATGAAAGTACCTACAACAGATCAACAGTGATGAAAGTACCTACAACAGATAACAGTGATGAAAGTACCTACAACAGATCAACAGTGATGAAAGTACCTACAACAGATCAACAGTGATGAAAGTACCTACAACAGATCAACAGTGATGAAAGTACCTACAGATAACAGCGATGAAAGAACCTACAACAGATCAACAGTGATGAAAGTACCTACAACAGATAACAGTGATGAAAGTACCTACAACAGATCAACAGTGATCAGAGTACCTACAACAGACCAACAGCGATGAAAGTACCTACAACAGACCAACAGCGATGAAAGTACCTACAACAGATCAACAGTGATGAAAGTACCTACAACAGATCAACAGTGATCAGAGTACCTACAACAGATCAACACAAATAAAGTGTGTTACTTACCTGTGCGTCCAATCCCAGCACTACAATGTACAACAATGGGAGGCCCTAAGGGGTGCCCCGCCCAGGCAGTGCCCATCTCTTTAGTGGCAGCTTCCTGTATACTCCTGACCCTAAAGAGAAAGTCTAAGAAAGGTGCGGCAGGTGGGACGCCATAGTCAGGCCAGCTGGTGAACTGTAGGTGTGTGATTTGACAAGACTCTCCTGTCTGGAAGGCAAACACACTATTGTAAGCAGCCATTTTGTTTTAAGTACACAGGGAAATATTATATAGCTGTGAGGACCATCCATTTGTTAACTACAGATGTTCCATCATATAACTTGGTCACCATTTATTAGTCATTATGTATTTATTCCATGTATTAGTCACTGTGTATTGGTCCCCAATATTTAATCTCCATTAATTAGTTCATGAGACAAGGGGTAGAGAGCTTAACTGCTAGCAAGGAAGTTACAAGTTCAGGTCACTGACACTAGTGTCAGCATAATGTCTCTGAGTCCACCCAGCTCTAATGGGTAGATGCGTCGCTTTAGGGAAAGTATTGACAGCTGAACAAACAATCCCTTTATCTGCAGCAAGATGAGCTCTACTTTACATGCCTTATGAAACATTAAAACAAAAAGGGGAACTTTATTCATTTGTCAGTGCCTGTGTATAAGTCACAAGTCAGTAGTCCCCATATGATTTACACCATGTATAAGATTAAACCTCCCCAAAAAAAAAACCAGCCACAAAACTTACATTTGTGTTGTGAAGCACAAGGATGGTCTCAGTAAAATTCTCATTGGCAATGATCCCGTTGTTGTAGACGATAAACTCTTCAAACTGTTCGTCTGTCTGCTCATCATTAGGCCAGTACTGACCACACTTCATTCTAGATCTTTCTACAGTTCTAGTCAAACAAATGTCATCTATCACTAGCTGGTACAACATTTGTTAATTATACAAACACTGGTCATTCATTCATGAATATCCTTCTGTACAATATCAGTTATCTATTGATAGCTTGAAAAATTAAAGCTCTTAAAACATTATTTATAAATTTTATTGAAATAAATACCTTGTGGTCATTACTATAACTCTACACTGGTTATGCCAAACCATCCTCCAAAAATCAACAAATGTCTTGGGCAGAGGACCTGTGAATGGAGGAAAAAATAAATTCAAACAATGTTTTTAATTGTTACTACCATTTTGTATGTGAGTCTAAGAGTTGAACCAAGCCCAAGATAAATCTCTCTAACTACTAACATATTTAACTGTAAATGGCACAAACACCAAGTTTTAAATAATTTTTGTAAAAAGATTACTTCAGTAATGTCAGAAAATATCAAACAGATCACAAATGTGTACTAGTATATAATCTATAGTAACCTTGAGTTGAAATAAATGCATTCTTCTGCATGTAACCATCGACAAAGTTAGCATTGATGTAATCAGAGCTGGGGTCGTCATCAATGATAGGGAGAACAACACGACTGTGGTCCAAACAAAGCACGTCTGTGTATCTGTTCTTTGTCACATTAGCTTTCAATCTAAAATACACATGCATTGAAAAGTATAAATGGTGAGTAAAGAACAAGATATTCTTCAAATAAAACATATCAGCTTATTTAAGCAAGTATAAACAATCAAACTATTAATCAAGCTAATTCCAGTCAGTATTGTTGATTGGATTATTCATCTAATTCTACTCAGCTTTACCACATTAGATTTGATGGGTGACCTTGCCTAGTTCAAACTACATACCATTACCTGACCTAAATTGATATTTCAATACTGTTCAACTAACTCATAAGTTATCATCTCTTGAGCAAACTAAAGAAATTGGCTTGAGTGTTTAGCTTATACATTTCAATGTAAGAACAGAGATAATGATTTAACAAAATATCAGCTACACACTCATACATCACCTAAACTGCAACAATTATTATTCACTATTGCTAGTGATAATAATTTGGCCTAAATAACATAGTTGCACATAAAATAAGAGCAGAATATAACATTATCTTCGGCAATTCCTTGAGAATACAACATCATTAGTATCATTAATACCTTAAAATAAACAGAATAGGGATATTAAAATTTAAAACCCAGAGATTATTTAGCCACACAACCCAGTGAACCAGGTATTAATTCACTGCAATTACAGTTAAAATAGAATGATATGTAATTGTATCAAGAAAAAAGAAAATAAATAATATGGCATAAATCACTCGTAATCTATTTAACACAAGTATTGAGTTATTCAACATTAGGTAAACTTACTTAGAAGTATTAAACGTTCCTGAGGGTGCCTCCATTTTGATTGAAGCATATTCAGCAAAAAGCCCTTTCCGTTTGAGTGTGTTTATTTTAGTTAAGAGTCCTTGTACAGTTGTACCGTTGCTATCAGGCATGTGAATAGAATCATCTAAAATGTTTGAACCAGAGGAAGGTGGACGTTTTTTACACGGCATTCCATCTGTTGCAGATTCACTAGCATCAGATACATCAGAGCTAGCCTTACGGGAGTCAGAAGTCTTTCTCTTCCTGTTTGTGGAGCCATGAGCATCCTTGTTGCTGTTCACCAAAGAGGGGAGCCCATCTTCTGAATCTTTCTCATCCATCTCGTCAGAATCTTCTTTCTCTTTTTCTCGATCTTCGTTTGTGTGTTTCTCGTTAACAGTATCTTTAGAGCTTTCAGAGTCAAAATCACTAGTGTGATTGTCTATGTCTGTGGAGATACTGCGTGAGATGGACCTGCGAGTGGCAGTGACACTGGAGGGGCAGGGTGTGAAGTAGGTGCTTGGATCAGGCTGTTGGTTAGTGGCACACAAGTAGCACATCTGTAGCCAGATCTTGTGGCTGGGTGCCTGGGAACCTCCTAGCTGAATTGGCAATGTTTCTTTGGGAACGTATATAGACAGTTCGGATATGTTCACAGTGTACACCTGCACAAAAACAATTAAGGATCAGTGACTTGCATTCGATATCAGGAATATAAAACTATTGAAACATTTTTTTTTAAATTTTAATATTAAAAAAAGTTTTTGTTTTAAAAATATAATGGTAAACAACTGAAGCTGAGGCTAAAAGTAGAATTTGAAAATAATTGTTAGCAAAATGATGATTCTTATGTATGCATAACTACTTACCCTGTCTCTTAATTTCTCCTTAACAAAAAGACGAAGTATCTTGAAAGGTGCTTTAAACCACAATGGTGCAGTCACTATAAGAACACGTTTTAATCTGGCAGGATAGGCTCCCTGGTAGCAGTAAAATAAAAAACTACTTACTACAATACCAACACAACAGGCTTTATATACTTGTGGGAGGATTTTGTTCTTAATGTGAATGGTGTGTCAAAGATGTTTGAGGTGAGTGAAAATGTGGATGTCTGAATTATTCAGTTTATTTGTACTCTCAAGTAATTAATGAGCATTAGTTAACTAATAGGAAATTTTTAATGTTTTCCATTATAATTGAAACAGAATAGGTGAAAGCTCAATCAACATATAAAAAATAAACAACTGGAACAAGTGTAAAACCACATGAAATACTGACTGAATATAATCCAATACGTTTCAGCTACTGTAAAACCTGATGTGAAATATACCTTTTAATGTTACTAGCAAACACAAGCATTTAGATCATTGTAATTATCTTTTAAGCACAGTCTAAGATTGAAAAAAAAATGTTCCTTACTTTTAATAAATTGAGAATTTTAATGCTGAGATCATAATCAAAGTTGGCATATTTAGAATCTGTCATATCATAGATAAAAACTAAACCTTGGCGTTGAGTTTCAATGCTGAAATTATAAAATAGAAATATTATTTTTTTACTTAATGATTAAAATAGATGACATTAATTAAATAATAAAAAGAATGAATATATTGCTATTATTTTAAAGCGATAACATAAAATTATCCAAAACTAAAGAAAGATGAAAGAAAAAAACAGATCACCTTTCCAGAGCAGCATCCAGCTGGTAGATGAGTGATTTCAGAACGACCTGGTGTGTGGTTTGTGGGGGGTAGTGGAGGCGAGCAGAAAATAAAGCTACAGCTGCACCATTATTATCTCTACCTGGCTAGAAAATATACAGATTATAAATTAACACCAAACTAGAAAAGTATTGAGATAAGTTAGTTTTATACTAATTTACCAAGTACCTACCAACAAAGTAAATTTTTCAGTATTTAATTCTTTTAGAAGAAACTGGTCATTGACATCTATTGTTAATAAATCTTCCTTCTCTCGAGTTGACTATAGTAAACAATAGAAGAAAACATCACTTCAATATTTAACAAATAAATTGATTTTTTAGAACTTTCTTTTAATATAAAGACGTTATTTTAAAAAATAATTAAATTAAATTAATGTATTTATAAATGGGGTTAACAGATCAATTCAAATGGCTCTTAATTAAAAAATAAATTACACACATCAGTGCTTACTTTGGTATGCTTTTAGGAGTATACCAAAATAAGAAAAAAAACTAAACTTAAACACACACCAAAACAATACACAATCAGGACACATAAAAAATTCAACAACACATGAATAATCAAAGAGGATATTTTCCTTTCAGTGTTATGGTCGTAAAGATGAATGCTTATAACAATACTCACACTTTTATATAATATAACAAGGGATAAAATGCATACCAAGCAATAGGTTTGAAGCCCAAATTATTATTATGTTAAATCAAGCCAATTAAAAGATAGAAATATTACTACTTAATCATACCTCATGTGAAAAAAAGAGATCTATTGCTCGTTTAAGATCAAATTTTCTTGCCATAAGAAACTTGCAACCTGCACTCCATGATACTGGAGATCTGTTACGACTCTCTTGCACAATATTGATTTCTTCTAAAAATTGTTGAATGGCCTTGGAAAGAAGTAAGCTAATGTTTTAGTAAAAAAAAAGAATGAATTACAATATACAAAAAAAAGGAATGTAATATTTATAAACAAATAGGCCTAACTATTTTTTTTATCACTTTTTTTTAGTTTTCTCTCAGAAGTATACTTGATCAGCCACCAACATTAAAAGGTTGGTTAAATACCAGATACCATCATTTTAAGATTTCTCTTTAAGCAACAAAATAAATTGGGCCTTAAAGAAAAGAATCAACTCATAAGTTCTCTGGTAACTCAACTGAGTTGGTTGTAACTTTCTATACTAATGCCACCAAAGAAAGAATTTCTAATGACTTTTTCCTTTTGGTCACTATTATGGGTATGTTAATATGGTTAATTATAATAGGTAGTCCAAACTGAAATTAACTATTGATTGCAGACTTCTGGAGTGAGTATGTCATGAAAGAACTTTTAACTGTAAGGTCTATGCCACAAATTTTATAAAAATATCTCAATAAATAAAAAAGTTATGCGATTTTTAAAAAAGCAAAATTTGGTAAAAAACTGATTTTCAAAAAGTGCCATTTTTGAGAACCCATATTTTTTAAACTAAATAACATAGAAGTGTGGAAATTGGTAAAGTTGCTGCAAAGTTTGTAATATATATGCCCAATTTTTTTCAGTCATCTAAAATGAGTCTTTCTAAGGTAAAAAAATAATTGAAAATGACAAAAATGCGTTTTGGTCACTTTTATTTTCATAAAAAAAAACAAATTCAATTTTTTTTTTTTTTGCTTTGGAATAACTCTAAAATTATTGTGTTGGTAACATCGACGTGGAAAAATGTGTTAATTATTTTCAAAAATCACATGAGTTAAAATATTATTTTAAAAAATACCACAGTTATCTAGTGCAGGACAAACAGAATCAAAATTTAGTAGAGTAAATTTAATGTAATGTAGTTTAATAAAGACGTGATGCCTACAAGTGATGCAGCAGTTGATGCCACATGCTTTGGTTTCTTTTCAAACCTGATAACTGCTTTGGGGGAACAGTTTTGGGGGAACATCTTTGTACGTCTTGTTTCCCTCAACCTTGATCTTGTGGAGCATCAAGAGTAAGTAATATGTTTTGGGAATTGTAGGGGGGAGGGGGGAGTGGGGTCTTGGCCTTCTTCCCTTCCCTTGTAAGGAAAGTTCTGGATAGGCCACCGTAAATGTCTCCAGCTATGGAACGAACAATTGATTTAGTGATTAATAAAATATAATTAAATTTACTACTAGCCTATTGTGTAGGCCTACTATTTGTCCTATGACTATAACTGGAAACATATGAAAAAGCCTGAAAACACCTTTTTGTTAAAAGTAATTTATATTTTTTAATATATATTTTTAAGAGTAATTCTACTGAATGAAATTTGAAATAATCGTTGCTTGTCCCACAATGGTTGAGATATCCAATGATGAAGATGCCATACTGTGGTTCTCAACATCCTATAGGACAACTTAACTGTCCTTCATTGTTACTATTATATGCATATAAAATAAATAAATAATGAGAAATACTACTAGTACTACTTACACTTACAACTAATATAACATTTAAAACTAAGTCACAACATGTACAATCTTAATAAATTGCACAACCATCTAAAAATTGATCTGGTACATTTTATTAAGGAGACTGGCGCAGACCATTTCACATTATTCAGCAGGGGAATCAGAATCAGAGTGCACAACAGAAAATAAAAAAACTAATCACATTAGTCCTTCATATTTAGTGTCTTTTGTTTTAAATACATTGATAAAAATGTATAGTTATTATAATTATAAATTTCTTTTGTGTTTCATTAGTATTTTATAAGTATTTAACCTTCGTTCCCTGTAAATAATTGAGTTCGTCCACATAGTAACCAGGATAGTCTGGTGGCCATTTTGAATTTGTCGATTCATAATTTTGACGTGATAGTCCAGATAAACTGTAGTAATACGACCCTATCATTGATCCCAGTCAATAGATTTTAAAGAATTAGTAAACACTAGCATCTAATAGTTAAGTGCATCCATATTTTAAGTCCCTAGAATGTCCTGAATTAAATAGCTTCACGTCTAAACACACCCTGTGTACAAGCGTAGTTCACCCGCTAAAACCGTGGACTTGTAGCGTTTAAATTTACATTAATAACGTGTACTAATTAAACCAAACTGACATTCAAACTTAAAATTCATTTATTAAAATGGAAATGAAACTTTAAAAATGATACTTACAACTTGTTTGAAGGCTCTAGCAAGGGTAAAATCCGTTTAGCATCATCGGTCGTCAACCTTTAAAACCGTTCGGCGAGCAACTTACTCGGGGCTGAAAGTCGACTCGAGGGTTATATGTTTATTGGGGGTACGGCTTTGCGACCGTAAATCAGAAATACTTGAATTTACAACACAAAGTAGTTATAAAACTGAACTTTACATCGGTGTAAAAATTGAAACAGAATTTGTTTGTTTCCGTGTATATATCGTCATTTAAAGTTTAAAATCTGTATTTTTTAAATGAAATAAACAAGTTATTTTTTCAATTTATACATCAAACGATAGCCTAGAATTCGATCTTTAAAATGACATTAAGATTATGCTTCTACGATGCTTTGTCGCGAAGCCGCGACCAAATAAAACAGTGTGAGGTCGATCGGTACACGCAAAACGGTGAAATTTGTTGACGTAACTGATACTTTTCAAACAAATATAAAACACATTCAAACATGTGTTACAGATATAAAAATACCAGATTACGACAGATAAAGACTTAAACTTTATTGACATATAATTTTTATTCTTATAGGACAACTAGAAGTAGTGAAATTTTTTTTTTGAAAACCGCAAAAACTGACCCTAAAACGCACTTTTTCGCCAGTTTGGACTACCTAATTATAAGTGTCAGGGTAGATAACATGCAGCTTATGTAACAATTCTTGATCAGTCAGGTGAACTGTGTTCACTGATGTTTTCACACATGGTAGCTGACAGCTGATGTTACCATCAATATGCTGCAGATAACTGTCATTTTAAGTTAATGATTAGGTTTTAAAGCAAATACTTAAAGTCTTTTTTTTACTGCCATATTTCAGTTTTTCATACTGCAGATCTAGATCTATAATCTATTCTAGATTGGGATAATATTTAGAATTGACCTTTTGTATTCCTAGCTGAACCAGGGCCTGGCATGGCAATCAACCCTTGGGCTTTCTAAATTGAGTTTAATATAACTCAAAAAATTATATGGACAATCTTATTGTATTAGACTACATAAACTCACATTAGCAACAATTAATTAATTAATTTAATTAAAGTATTGAGATTACAAATTAAATGTATGAATGTTCCTTTAGTGGTAAAATTTCAAATAAACGTAATTTGATTTCATAGGCCTATCAGTCCAAATAAAAAAAAAAAAACAATAGGCTCCCGCACCCGTTTTCTTGAACACTAATATCTCGCATGTGTTGTAGTTCGCTTTAATAGAAGCAATATATAACATTTGAACTCACAATGACCCCAAATCAGTTTTCCCTATGGCTGGGTTGGGTGGGGGGGGGGGGGGGGGAGGACTACGACGACGACAAATTTCGACAAGCTCAAAGCAATGGTCTTGCTATGACGTATGCTATACGCCTACACTGTTCACATCTAAACCAATGTGAACTCACAGTGACCCTAGCTAGACCGTGTCGGTATTTTTCTTGCGCTGACGAGAAAAAATGAACGGGCAATCAATGGATCAACTATGTTTATAATTGGCGTGTTTAAAAACCTAAATCTAGAAAAAATATACAGTCTATTAGAAAAAAACAATTTTAAAAAATACACCCATGCAATCAACTAGGATAATAATTTATATTGAATGAATTTATATAAACAGCAAAATATAGGGTATTTAGAAACAGTAACACAAGAACAAACGATAGCAAATCTGCATAACTAATTACAATAACATAACTAACAACAAAATACTAGCAAGTTCACATGAAAAATCAAATAAACATAAAAGGTATCATTTTAATACAGGTTGTACAAGTGTGTAACTAACTTAATGCCGGGTCCGAATAGCGTCCATGGCTACAGGGACCCGGCTCCGAATAGCCACTTCCAAAAAAAAAAAAGGATAGGCAGATGAGATTCCAAGAAGTCAAGTGAAGATCTGTTCTGATTCTGTACAGACAGAATCTAGATTTCTAGACTCCTATTCTAGATTTAGATCTAAGTAAAAATATTGAAATAATTCTTACTGAAGCGCATCAATTAAATTAGATAATCTATTTCAAGCACTTCAAATATTTTTTTTTTGTTATTCAGGCCAAATATTTTCAGAAACGTTTTATATTACCTTTTCTTCCTGTTCGGTAAGATCAGCAGCCATTATGTTTCTTGTGCCAACAATAATTTTTATTAAGTCGTAAATTGGAAAAAAAATAAACACGCTAGGCACTAAATTATTTTTATAGTTTTGTATGATTCTGTTTTATTTAATATTTTTCTTCGTTTTTAAAAATGTATCACTTATTTATTTTAGTTGAAATAGCTATCGAATAAACAATGAAGTGATTTACGACTAAACTTTTTCACAACATTTTGACGTCACTGTTTATTAACGCCATATTTTTAGACTCAAGACTATCACAAAGACTGATTGGGTTGTTTTTATTCAATTACATTTCCATTACATTCTGTCACATTGAACTAATAACTCGCTGTTGTAAATTTGATTATAGTAAATCCAAATTATGGCTCAGAGTCCATCGGGGAGTGCCGTGAAAGCTCTCCAACTTGAATTGAAGAAGATTCAAGCAGAACCTGTGGAGGGTTTTCGTGTCAAGCTAGCAAACGATGACAACATATTTGAATGGGAAGTTGCTATATTCGGGCCACCAGGAACCTTATATGAGGGTGGATATTTTAAGGTAAAACACCAGGATGCTAATGTATTGTAATAGGCCTTTGTGGTAATTAGTGCAATTATTTATAGATACATCTAAAAAAGAAAGATATCTTAGGGATGTGAGGCTAATAAAAAAAGCTAGACTAGGATTCTTGATCCCTCAGGCTTGGCTTGGAGTTATCCTGTCTAAAACTCTAAACTTTAGAGTCTAAAGTATAAAAGTAAGTTTCTTAACTAAGAAGACTGAGTGCTAACTATTTTCACTAAAGAAGAGCTAAGAAATAAGATATATCTTATGAAGTTGAGACTAGCTAGAATCTACATCTAAATCTAGGTCTTACTTAGCTACGGTCAGGTGTTGCCATTGGAAAACCTAGATCTAGTCAAAAGAAGAAAATTGATTTTGGTCTGTTCAGACTCTTAACATTTAAGGGTTACTTAGGGTTAGGCTAATAAAATAGTCTAACTAAGTAGGCTAATTGGATGATTTTAATTGCAGCTGAAAATATGAACATAGTATCCTCACTTCCAGTTTCAAGCAAATGAATAAAAAAAAAAATAGGAATAGGCTTGTCAGAAAACATGTTAGCATGCATGTCTCTAAATAAAAAAAACATATTTGGCCCTTATTAGCTAATATAATCGACCCTTCGAATCCCGGACAGATTGTCCCCCTGACATGGCCTGAACTGAACTGACTCTATTTAAAGTCTGCTACTATTTTACTAAGAACAAGTGACATGTGATTTAACACTTGATTATCAATTATTGTACCTGATGTTCCATAAGTCAGATGAAGTAGGGTTCATCTGTTTCTTGAACACAGCATATGAAGGAATAGTGTTGTCAGCACTATGCTCAACAACCACCTTTTCTTTCCTTAATATGAGTCAGGTACCCACCTGAGTTCAATGGACTCAGGGACTACATACAAACTTGAGTCTGAGATACAAACCTGTGAATTACATTAGAAGTTCAGTGCTCTACCACCCAGCCAGTGTGAGATAATTGTGCTATTTAATGAATTTATGAAATAAAGAGGGAGTGATCTCCCCTAAACTTTCTAGGATATACCTATATAACATTATGAAGGATGGCAACTTAGGATATAGACGTGATTGTGAATAAATTTTTAATTACTTTAGAAAAACAAAAAAAGTTAAGTACTACTTCTGGTCAACGGAAATTACTCAACATTTGACAGACGGCAGAGAATTAGATCTTTTGCTTATATGTAAAATTTTGTTTGTCTTTCTCAAACAATACTCTAGTTATAGGCTTTTGAAAAATCAAAAATTATAATATGTTCCACCTCCGGAAATCTTTGAAAAGTTGATACAGAACTACAATTTTTGTTATAATACTTATATATGAAATTTCACCAATCTAGCTGTAACGGTACTGAAGTTGTCATGTTACAGACATACACACACAGAATCATACTGCCAAAAATTGCAATACACACACAAAATCATACTGCCAAAAATTGCAAAACTATGTTTTTCCGACTCAATTAGGTGTGTAAATCATTGAGATTTGTGGAAATCTCGGTTTTGATTTTTTGCTCGATTATAATACTTCCTTCTAAACAAATTATCTGTATGGTATATAATAGCCTCTCTGTTAACTAAGTAGCCAGTTACATTTTCCAATAGCTGTTATTAATTGATCATGCGTTTTATAAAACAATATATATAGTATATTACTATATAGGAAACAAGTGGGCTATCTCAGGACAATCTTATAGCATAGACAAAAAATAATTAATATAACTCACCCTTTTGATATAATGTAACCTCCATGGGGATTTTTCGACAGCAAATTTTTTGCATTTACATTACAATATTCATACAAAATTCACAGTAAACTTAAGAAGAGTAAAGGTGATTTAAAATATATTTACGATTCATCAAACCAAGAGACGTTTAAATTTATAATTGCTGTTAAGTTATATAAACACTGAGTTTTTGTTTTACTAGGCACACATGAAGTTTCCTCCAGATTACCCCTATTCACCACCCAGTGTACGGTTTATTTCTAAAATGTGGCATCCTAATGTGTATGAAGTAAGTTTTAGTTTTTACATCATTCTTTTTAATATATTGTTGTAAACTAAATAATTAACCTTTTTATGTAACAACAGCTATTACATGACTCAAAGAAATCAATGAAAACTGTCCAAACCTAATTTGAAGTGACTTTTGTTTTAGAATGGTGAAGTTTGTATCTCAATTCTCCACCCACCTGTTGATGACCCCCAGAGTGGTGAGCTGCCATCAGAGCGCTGGAACCCTACACAAACAGTCAGGTAGCCAGAAAAGTTTGACTTGCTATACATTTTTGTATATAGAGTTTGTCCACTTGTTTAATGCCCAATTACATTACAATTGCATGTGCCTAATTTGTTTTTTTTTTACTTGTAACAAATCAACAAACTGGTATTGTATTCTTCAGAACAATTTTACTCAGTGTTATCTCCCTGCTGAATGAACCTAACACATTTTCACCTGCCAATGTTGATGCTTCAGTCATGTTTAGAAAATGGAAAGAATCTAAAGAAAAAGAGAAAGAGTATGAAAATATTATAAGGTAAAGATTTTATTTTATAATGACTTGACTTAGTCCTCTTTGCTCCTTATGGAACATAGGGCCTCCACCATTTCCTTCCATTTCTTCCTATCCCCGGCTATTAATTTTGCCATCTTCCAAGACATCCCTGTTGGCTTAAGTTCTTCAAGAAGACTCCGCCTCCAGGTCTGTCTTCGGCACCCTCTCTTCCGCTTTCCCTGGGGGTTCCACTCAAGCACTTGGCATGTAACATTTCGGTGAGCCTTACGCAGTGTGTCCTTGCGGATTTGGCTGCATTGCGTCATACTTCTCCTAAGTGGAGCCCTGGTTCCTCAGAGGACTGGATTAATTTCAGATTTGGCTTCGGTTTCTGTAACTATCTTTTGTTTTATGTGGACGAGTAGTTAGCCCATCGCACAACCCGCAACCTGGAGGACCAGGGCACAACGTTTGATCTGGCCCCTAGCCGCGCAGATCTGTCCGACTTGGTTAGACCTGCCAGGAGCACTAGGCTCCCACCGGCATAGCTCTGGGGGTTGCTGGGTCACACAAGCCATCGCACCACTTCAAGGCAGTGTGCCATTAGGATGGTTTATTTTATAATATAAGTATATTAATGGCAGTGTATATTCATATATCATAACAATGTTTACACTTTATTTTAATACTATGATAAAACATACTTTTAAAGAAATTGTCAGATTACATTAGTTGTAAACCTGTTTCCTGTTAGCGCACTTGTAGTAATTTGAGGAGTATATAGGAGTATATTTACCATCAGTTACTCTACTTTTTCAAACACTTATGCATGGTTAGATTTTCAATCTTTATCTGTTGTCCTTGTATTATTATTTAATTTAGCCCACAATGACAACTTATTCCCTCTATAAATTGAACTGTTTTCCAAACTGTCAATAAATGTATGTGTAAACACCCATATAAAAATGTACCAGTTAAAAACTATTTTAAAATGTATTCAGAAAACAAGTCCAAGCTACAAAAGAAGACGCAGCTAGAGATCAAGTTCGGGTACCCACAACATTGCAAGAGTATTGTGTCTCATCCATGCCATCTCATGATAACCAAGTGGATGCTGACTTTTATGACGATGATTATGTAGATGATCTGGATGATGATGAACAGGAGATGTACCATGAGGAGGATGAGGAGGATTCAGGCAATGAAGAGTCTTGATGGCATCATTAGTTTTCTTGTCTACTTCCTCTCAGTCCTGTGTGTGTACCATAGGCGAGTGGACGGTGGGGGTCTAGATGATAAGTATGAGATGTGTTAGTGGATGCTAGGCTTGATACAATACCTTTAAGATCATTCAAGTTTTAAAAAAAAGTACAGAAGTTTTTCTTTATTAAATAAAGGATAAAAAAAACTAGATGTTAAAGGTAATATACTTAAAACAACTGTTGCTTCTGTTATTATAACAGGCACTTGTATCAGGAGTATTTCACAAACCCCCCCTTCTCTTCTCTACCCCCACAGTCCTCGCCCTCTTTGCATTACCATTGTGATCACATTTGATTAGCATCTACCCCTTTTTTTTTCTTAGGGACAAGATGAGACAAAATTTCTGATAGAACTCAACCTTGCTAATGTCATCATATTCAAATAAATAATTTTTCTATCTCTTTAGAAGCAGTCACCTGTGGTTTAGTTTTTGTTTTTGTGTTGCATTTTTTCCTTTTGAATACTTGCAACTTGTAGTTTAACATTAGCCTTTTTTTTTATTCAGTCAGATTCTCAACCCCTTTTTAAATTAAAAGATATGCAAGGCTTTCCACACAATACCTACAGAAAGAAGTATAAAATTCCTGGGTTCTGGGATAACTACCATTCCTTGTCTGGTTTGTTTGACAGCCAGTTTCTTGTATGGTTTAAAGATTGTAGAAAAATTTTCTACTTGTAAGTAAAAAAACATTGAACTGGTAATTGCAAGTCATTATTGTGTTTATTATTAAAAATGTTTGTTCAAGTAGAATGATCAGACCAGATGAGTTTTTGTGCAGAGGAGTTTATTAAATAGGAACTAAAATACCTTGCATGCTTTTTACATTTAACTCTTTCCAGTTGAAAGTAAAAAAAAATCTTTGCATTACATTGTGCAACTGCTGGAGGGGCTTTAACAACACATTTGGTTTTTACAGTAGGAGTAAAATCAGAACAGACTTGTTTGGGGGGAAATCTCTTGTGGTCCGACATTTTTGGAAAGAGTTAATAAAACATGTACATGTATTATATATTTAAATAGGTTTTTTTTGGTTATTTGGTGTTTCTATTTTTTTAAATTATTAAACTCTTTTGCCAATGTGTCTTAATAATTATTTTAAGGAACTTGAAACAACTTTTTGGTAACTAAGGTTTTTAGTAAATATTTTTTTTAAACAAAACCTCGAGCATTTGATTATTTTTTTTAACATAGTATAGTTTAGCTTTTGTTTCACAGGTACCAGAGAAGTTTTGGTGATAACAATTCTAAATAAATGGTCAAGCCATACATTGTATAGTATCCTCTACTTGATGTTTTCTTTCTATTTTTTAAATTGCATTTTTTCAACTTGAAGCTTTGTCAGTGATAGCCCACACAGCAGGTGGACTAAATGTAATTGTATGGGAGTTAAAAGGGAAAAAGTAAGTAGCTTTGTTTCTCTTACTTGTCCATAGCTATACAATGGTATATTTGAACTAGCCGAACTCTTCCACTCTTGTCATCTTGATTGCATCGATTTTATCTAGGGTAGTTGTATGATGAGGCACAGAATTACAGGGAATTTCCTGTTAAAAAAAATACAGGAAATTCCCTGTGTGCAGAGGTCTTACCATGATCCATAATCAGAGACTTGTATAGATAAGCATCTGTTGATAGGATAAAGTGATGTAATGGGAATGCTAGTTGAAATATACTGAAGAAGTGTACATTGATGATAATCTAACAAGATGAGAGCACACAACTTGTGTTCCTCACCTTCTCTTGTGGATTATCTTTTTAAGTGTGTATAAATAGTTAACTTTTTTTGGTACCATGCAGATGTACAAATATACTATTTTGACAAAAATGAGTATGTTGTCTTACTTTTTTTCTTGTTGTGTTACTAGTTCTTGTTGTCCATTTTGAGCATGGCAGAGGTTTTCTATGACATGCTCATTTTGTTTTGTTAATGCTCATTAAACTTAGATGTTCCAGCATTTTATATGCATTTTTTGTACTTTTCATTTGGAAGTTGTTTTTGTTTGTTGACTCAATTATAACAAATAAAAAAAAAGATTTTTTTTCTTTAGCCAAATATGTAAGTACCAGGAAAGGTGCTTGGTTTGGCTTGAAATTTTTTGACAAACTCCTTGGCCAGATCAAATGCTACATCACTGGTCTAAATGAAAAGGCCTCTTAAAATGCTTAAATATTGACATTTGGGAGTAAATTAGAGTAAATTACACTTATTTCATGTGCATAATTTACAAAATATGATTAAATTTTGTATCATATTTAAAATAAACTAATACAATATAATTCACATACAAGCCAACTTATATGATATGCATTACATCAATTCCAATTTTTGTGGCTTGTGTGGAAAGATAAACAGTACAGTGACTAGATTTGTGGTCAAGCCATGAGACTTATTACCACATAATTTATTCATGCATCATTGAATGTTTACTTGAATGTTCTGTTCATAAGCAGTTTTAAATTGTGTTACTACTGGTCAGTAATAAAACTATCAATAGGTGAATAGTTTTATCACTATGTAGAATGAACTTCCTTTTTTCAGGTTGTACTATTCCAAGTATCTCTATGTAGGTTTGTTGTGTGTGGAGATTTGATCTTTAAAATGAACTGGTCATATGAATTGATTTGAATTAAATGTCTTTTGAAGAAAAGATTGTGTATAGTTGTTTCTTTGTTTGCAGAAGATATCAGAGACTATACTGCTATGAGAAATATACCATTGGTATTCAGCATGGAGAAACATACCATCAATATATAAATATTGTATGAAGAAAACAAAAGGATACTGGATAGAGGAACATACCATTTAGATACTGTTATACATAAATATGTCATTATTAGATTTAGAATCAGATTATCAGTATACTGTACTGAGGAGTAACCTACCACTACAATCCAAATACGTTTTAGTATTTCAAAACTATTTCACCTGATTTGATTAAAAAATAATTATTATTAATAATGGTCATTGCAAGGCTTACTCGTCCACATAATAGCTTCTGTAAGAAACATTAAAATAGAGGTAGATTCAAGTTCAATATATGGTCATTTATCTAATAGTATTGAAAGTCTCAATAATAATTTTTGTTCACAAAAAATTTATTATTAAAAAGCAACAAGTGTTCAACAATCACAAGAAAAATAGTAACGTGTGACAAAGTGTATCATCGATCTAACATTAACTTTTTAAAAAAAAAAAACCTTGCAGGCTTGTTTCCTGACAGATAAGTATACGTCGTTTTTAGCACTGGCTTAAAAACACACAAAAATACCTTAATTATTTAAAGAGTCGATAAAACTGATTTGCTTAAAATAAATTTGAAAAAGAAAAACAATTTTAAAATTACTAAACGAAATAGATGTGTCTGTGCTATGATTAACATGGTCACTACGACAACCTTGTTATTTCCCTTGAACCTATTTTTAACAGTAACCAAACTGATCTCCTCTCTTATCTACTGTCCTTTCTTTTAAATATATCCATCGAGACTTTGTCCGATTTTTTCACCGTTGTTTTAAGGCGTGGCTTGACGTCCTCCTCCGACGTATCGGCGCTGCCGTGCTGGTAGTCGGTGTTGTACTCGGAGCTTGTCTCCCCTTCGTCTGACGACACTTCCTGTTTCTCCACATCGGTTTGCTCCCCTTCTTTCGAGCCGAAACGTTTTTGGAACGCGGACAAAACCTTGCTGGGTCTTCTGTCCTGACGTTTCTTCAGGACCTTCTGTTTCCGTGCCTTGAGTGATGCGACACGAATTGCCTTGTCCTGGAGATGTTAACAACAATTTAGAACTCTATCCAGTTGATAAACAAATGGCTTCATAGTCTGATGTCTCAAGGAAAAAGAAAACACGGAAAGTCAAGGGAGACGTGGATGTGCACCGAGGTGAAGCAGCCGGCAGAGGAAGGAATGTCTTGGGAGACTGCCAGAAAACTTGCAGGAGCAGTAGCGTAGCGAGGGGGGGGGGGGGCGGGGGGACATATGTCCCCGGGCGCCGACCTCAGGGGGCGCCAAAATGGGTTGGAAAAATAAATTGAAAGGTTGAGGGGGGTGCAAATCGAAATCTCTAGGGAGGGGGGGGGGGGTGCAAATCGAAATCTCTAGGGAGGGGGGGGGGGTGCAAATCGAAATCTCTAGGGGGGGGGGTGCAAATCGAAAAGTTTTTTCCCAGGGCGCCGGGAAGGGTCGCTATGCCTCTGTGCAGGAGACCGATAAAAGTGGAGCCAGCCTTCTGTTGTGGCCCCATGTGTCTTGGACCCAAAAGATGATGACTGTTTGATGGACAAATATGAGGGGGCAAAGCCTGGGTAAGGAGTTGAGAAGAGCCAAATGTTGCCCGTGTATCAGGCCCCATTTCTCCAAACAGCTGATGGGTCTTAAAGAAAGGCATAACCTACACAGCTTGACTTCAACTGTGTCGCAGGAGCTGGCGAAAGGAAAAAAGAGTTAGTTATCCTATCGCCTAAGGGGCTCAACTCCTGTTAGATTTTGGAGTTACCTCTCCTAGGCCGGTTGTTGTCCCTAATTAACTAGCCTCATCTCGGGAATTTAAACAGTAGAATATTTCATAACTTAAACATATTAACCATAAAATACCTCCAACATAACGTTTACATAACTAGGTAGTCCATTAGCAAAAAAAAAAAAAAAAAAAAAAAACAGCAACAACAATATTGCATTTAACTGTTGACATTCAAGCCAAACTAAAGTAGATTTAGTTGTTATACATTAAAATTTGTCAACAAAATTAGCTCACCGCCTCGTCTTCGCTCGAATCAGTTTCAACACTCAAGTCATCCGGGTCACCGTAATCAACCTAATAGGATACACACATAGGCATACCTATATATATATATATATATATATATATATATATATATATATATATATATATATATATATATATATATATATATATATATATATATATTTTTTTTTTTTTTTTTTTTTTCTTGGAGTTATTTCTATGGTAGACTGAAGTCAAACCATAGTTTATGAGGGCACACGTTTGATATTTCAACCATCTATGTACATATACATACATAAGCAAAGGTTTGCGTATCCAATCATTATCAGAATAATGGTCCAAAGATTGCTGCCCTCGTGAGATACCACCACCTGCCCCAGTTCTAGAACAACACATTCGTCTTAGACCAGCCACACAAACGTACTGGGTTCATACAAGCAGTGCAGACGTTTCCTAACTCAACGAAGCAATCGTTGCAGTATGGCGCTTTACAGTTGACGCAGTCAACAAAGTTCTCTGTGTCTTTAGCCTTTCCTTCTTTACCACAACACAGACAGCGCTTCCTCTTGCGGCCCATCAGTTTGGTTACAATCCTGTGTGGACAGTGTTGTTCTAAGCCACAGGGTCGTTTTACAGGCTACTTTACATCAATACAAGTAACATGGATTCATCAACACAGCATGACATATAACACACTTAGTGTCGAGCACAACGCAAACATAACATGAAACATGACACACAACATACATGACACGCCCAACACATCGCTAGTCTCACAACGCTGAGCATGGCATGACACACATCGGGTCCATCATAAAGCTGTTTGTCGTTTAACCCTGATACAAGTAAAACGTGAGGGTATCTATTATGGAGCAATATCCCTAGATGCGTGTAAAACCTTGTCACTATAAATAAACAGCATGCATCGCCGAAAAGTGTTTTGTTTTTTAACTTTTAAGTTGACGAAATTTTAAAAGAGTCTGTGAAAATGATATTTCTCACTTTACTTTGTGCAAGGTTATGTAAAAAATAGTTGGAGGGTGTCAGTATTATTCTCAGTTCCTTCTAGTTTTTAACAACTCGGAAAAAGTCGACTGTGAGTCAAGCAGAAGCAGCCGGAATGTGGTGGGCCCAACTTGGAAGAATCACCCGGAACCGAGTAGGATGGAAGGAGTCTAAGTGAATGTGATGATGAACAGAACATACTTGAAGCACTTAATTAAGAAGACTAAATATTACACACTTGATGCAGCTAAGAAGACAAAACACTACATACTTGCAACACGTAAGAAGACAAAACATTACATACTTGCAGCACGGAAAATTGGCCTCTAGACTACTGAGAATACTGAGTTTTTCTATGCCCTTTTCATTCTTCCATTTTCTTTGAAGTTGACGTCTCATGGTAACTAGAAAACCATCTCTTCTCTAACAAAACAATAAACAAAAAACATGCATTAGTTGGGAAAATATAACGCATCCTTCAGCCGTTAGGATAATGTAAGTCTTAACAACCTGATTATAGTGATTGTAGTGCACCGATATTACCAACATGATGTGATTGTAGCGCACCAATCTTACCAGCATGATTGTAGCGCACCAATCTTACCAAAATGATGTGATTGTAGCGCACCAATCTTACCATCATGATATGATTGTAGCGCACCAATCTTACCAGCATGATATGATTGTAGCGCAACAATCTTACCAGAATGATTGTAGCGCACCAATCTTACCAGCATGATATGATTGTAGCGTACCAATCTTACGAGCATGATTGTAACGCACCAATCTTACCAACATGATATGATTGTAGCGCACCAATCTTACCAGCATGATATGATTGTAGCGCACCAATCCTACCAGCATGATATGATTGTAGCGCACCAATCTTACGAGCATGATTGTAACGCACCAATCTTACCAACATGATATGATTGTAGCGCACCAATCTTACCAGCATGATGTGATTGTAGCGCACCAATCTTACCAGCATGATATGATTGTAGAGCCAGACGGCCCTAGCCTTCTCTCTCACGGGGTAGTAGCATGCGGCCACTACGTGCCGGAGCCGGAGACCGTAGGCCTCAAAGAGCGTCAGGAAGAAGCAGATACACATGATGCCAGCGATGGTCTTGTAGGCCGTGAAGTTGGGCTCTTTCGCGTGAGGTAGGCACGGGCTGGTGTCAATGTCAAGGCCGGAGTCTGCCACTGGTTCAATGACCCCGACCATTGCCTGGCAGGTAAAGTACAGGGTTATAAACACGGGCAGGTAGACAACAGGTATATAAACATTAGGGCAGGTAAAGTACAGGTATATAAACACGGGGCAGGTAAAGAACAGGTTTATAAACACGGGCAGGTAAAGAACAAGTATATAAACACGGGCAGGTAAAGTACAGGTATATAAACACTGGAATAGGTACAGATATGTAAACACGGGCAGGTCAAGTACAGGTATATAAATATTGTGGCAGGTAAAGAACAGGTATATAAACACGGATAGGTGATGTACAGGTATATAAACACTGGAATAGGTAAAGTACAGCTATGTAAACACGGAGCAGGTAATGTATAGGTATATAAACATTGGGGCAGGTAATAAACAGGTATGTAGACACTTGGGGCAGGTAAAGTACAGGTATCTAAACAATGGAATAGGTAAAGTACAGGTATATAAACATTGGGGCTGGTAACAAACAGGTATGTAAACATGGGGCAGGTAAAGTAAAGGTTTATAAAAATTGGGGCAGGTAATTGACATGTATGTAGACACTTGGGGAGGTAAACAACAGGTATGTAAACACTGAGGAACCATTAATTTGTTATTCTGTTGTAGATACATGTTTCTATTTTGAAGAGATGTGTTATTGTGTAGTTTAAACATGTTTTTTCAGTCATGATTTAACATGCTTATCTTGTAGGCTTACAAAGCACTGTTATATTTTGTACATGCCTGTTACATGCTTGTCTACATGTACCTTGTACATATCTGCCATTGGACCTTGACCTTGCACGTGCAGCTGCAGGTGTGGGGGTACGGCTGCGCTGGTCCGGACGTCCATGTGTCGTCTGATGAGGGAGAGGATCCAGTAGAGCCCGTAGTCACAGATGATGTAGTAGGTGGCGTGGAAGGCGGCAAACAGCCAGAACATAACGCCTTTGATCAACTTTTTGATCTGCCAAGTTTTGCAACACTTATTATTTCTATGAATATTAAAAAATTTGATTTGTTTTTTTACAATTAGAAATCAGCTCTAGTTTTTTTTAAATGAAAAACTTTATTCATCAACATCAGCACTTTTGGACCCCGCCATCCTTGACCTTCATCACAAAAAAAAGAATATTGTATTTTAAAAATGTCCACCCCTCACCTAGCTCGTCGCCACAATACTTATATCCCCCCCCCCCCTCTCATTGGTTAGGCTAATTACGTCATTTCAAGGCTATGCCTTATGAACCAAAAAAATATTTTTTAACATATAAGACTTGGTTGCCGATAGCTGCAGTACTTTCTAGCTATGCATAGCGCCTAAGATCTGACACACTTTCAGTGCAGATACACATAATATGTAAACAAAAGATCAAGTTCGTTTTCGGTGTATCTTTCCTGGTTGCCATAGCAACGGCGTGACGTCATACCTCGCTTTTAGTCATCATGTAGGAAAAGGTTGGGATGTACTTGAACGTCTCCATCACCTTCAGGGGCATTATCGTATCTTTTTTCATCTCTTTCCTCTTCGCGTCGATCTAACAAAACAGGCAATTTTGAAAAAAAATAACAAAAGTACACAAAAATAGTTTTTACCAAAAATAAATACCACAACAAAGTAAGTATACATCAACAGGTAGGCCTGCTGGGGTAACAAGCCCAGGTAGCTCGCACCTCTATGTGGGGGTGGGGTAGGGGTGTAGGACAGATTAACCTGTGGGTGGCATTTGGAGTTGGGAGCATATCACAAAGCCATAGCTAGTTCTTTTATTAAGTGTTTGTTTAATAGCACAAATAGAGCAGAAAACGTACATCAAGTTAGGGGTCGTCCATAAATGACTCACACTCGTAGGGTGGAGGGGGGTCGGTAATTTTGTGACGATGTATGATGAGGGGAAGGGGGGGGGGGTTCAGATGGTGCGACGTCACACTTTTGCTTTATAGAAAAGAAATGTTAGAAAACGAATGTTAGACGTTATTTTGCGTTTTAGAAAACAGTTTTAATAAATTGTAATAGGAATTGATTAAAATACTCTAATTTGACAGTTCAGACATGATTTTGGAAAAATATCGATGTTTGAAAAAAAATTCAACTGCAATTATGAGGGGGGTTGTAGGCCGAGGTGTGACGTCATTTTAGTGGGGGGGGGGGTCTGCCTTTTGTGACGACGTGTGACGGAGGGGAAGGGGGGGGGAGATAAAAATAGTCAAAAAAGCGTGACGTCATTTATGGATGACCCCTTAATGGTTAGAGGTTCTCTCAGGGATATATCCGTATGGCAGTGCCCCTCTCCCTGAATTCGTCCCACCACCTCCCCAACTAGGACGAAATTGAAAAAAAAATTAAATTTAGATAGAAAACATACTTTAATCAAGATCCTACTCCCGGAAGTGCCCCTTCGGATCAAAGATCCTGAAAGAAACCCCGTCTATTGTCTAAAGGCATCAATAGAAGAGAACACCTACATCAAGCAGATGGTTAGTCACGTAGACGTTGTCGTAGTGGTCTTTATACAAGTATCCCCTCCTGTACATGACCGCCTTGACCACAACCAGCAGTATGGTAAAGGCCATGACGTTATCTATGATAGCTTGGATGATGTCAAACACGCTCAGTTTCTCGCGGATTTCGCGTAAAATCGCTTCTCTGATTTCACTGGCAGATGGGAAAATATGAAATGGTTTACAAGTTTAACCCGATAGTAAAGATATTACGTGCATTATATAAATTAGTTATTGTTTCAATAAGTTCATAAGTTAGCATTACATCTGTATTTTTATAGTTTTATTATAATATATCAAGTGATGTTTTATACTGATTAAGAATTCTTATAATAAATAATTAGGGATTCTGTTCAAGAAGTTTTAAATTATAAATTTGTATTCATTATCTAGAGTTTGTGTCAATAACTGTGCCAATTAGCACATGTATCATGTCATGATATTGCTGATGTAGTACATGTATCATCTCATGATATTGCTGATATAGTACATGTATCATGTCATGATATTGCTGATGTAGTACATGTATCATGTCATGATATTACTGATGTAGTACATGTATCCTGTCATGATATTGCTGATGTAGTACATGTATTATGTCATGATATTGCTGATGTAGTACATGTATCATGTCATGATATTGCTGATGTAGTACATGTATCATGTCATGATATTGCTGATGTAGTACATGTATCATTTCATGATATTGCTGATGTAGTACATGTATCATGTAATGATACTACTGACATGTATCATGTCATGATAGTGACAGACTATCCTATCCGACCTGTAGGGCCTGGACTGGTTCATGTTGTAAGTAAAGTGGTAGTCGAGCGTCACATTGAAGTAGAACATGTCCCTCACGTTGTACATCTTGGACACAAGTGGACGAGCTACCTGTGGATAGTGCACACAATTAGATCAGTGGTCAGCTTAAATAGTGGACAACATTAGACCAGTGGTCAGCTTAAATAGTGGACAACACCAGTGGTCAGCTTAAATAGTGGACACCACTAGACCAGTGGTCAGCTTAAATAGTGGACAGCACTAGACCAGTGGTCAACGTAAATAGTGGACAACATTAGACCAATGGTCACCTAACATAGTGGACAAGACTAGACTGGTGGTCAGCTTAAATAGTGGACAATACGACCAGCGGTCACCTAGCAGCTTAAATAGTGGCCAAACCACTTAGCCACGATCAAAGTACCTAATGATTGCAATACAATATGTAATGATTACATTGGCTACAATAAAGTTATGTTATGGTTATCTTGCACACAATAAAGTTATCTAATGGTTACCTTGGAGACAATAAAGTTATGTTATGTTTACCTTGGAGACAATAAAGTTATCTAATGATTACCTTGGAGACAATAAAGTCTTTAATGGTTACCTTGGAGACAATAAAGTCTTTAATGATGCCCACAATCAAACACAGCAGCTCAGTGATCTTGGCGATGTAGCAAACATAGCTAACCAGTGTGACGATTCCACAGACGAAGTCAAATATACTCATAGCATTACAGCAGTCCCTATAGCCGTCATCAAATGCCTGGAACACAGAAAACATAGCAGTACATACAGCGTTTCTTTCAGGCATCTCTTCCGAAGCACGCATCCACCCTCCAAATAATGTATATAGAAGATATATACTTTTACCAGTATAGTCTTTAGTCTACATACATGAGTTAACTGCAGTTTCTATAAAAATTAGAATTTTTTGCTAAAATGGTAGGACTTGTCCATTTATGTGCAATCCGAAGAACCTTGCATGTACTGTAGGTTAAGAGAGATACCAACTTGCCCCTGACCATACGTCTGATTTGAGATGCATCATGTTGTCATGGTAACACAACAGACAGGTGACACAGGCGACTGACCTTTTTACACTTCCGGTACGGCTGGCCCAGGTTGTCGTTGCAGACGTTGACCATGTTGCGCAACCACTCGAAGACCCGCCCCACGATAGCCACGATCTCCTCTACAGCACGCAGCAGCGCCTTGAAGGCATCCCTTACGTCATCGGCAAACTTCTTCACCGCCACCAACATTTTTCTGGAGGGAAGGGAGGGGGGGGGTAGTGGGGGAAGTATTATAACTATTATGTATATAATATCTTTTAGATATCGTGTATTATGGTAAATGCAATGGTATTTACTATAATAGATATGTCATTTCTTTTGATCTGGATTTGTTCAGTTAAAAGACACAAATGATGTCCTGTGAAGATCATGTGACTCATTAATTAGCAGCAACAAATAGATGACGCGGGACTGCCAGGAATATTGCCAGAGATCAACAGAGGTGGGGGGAGCTTTTTGTGGCGGCCCCATGTGTCTTGGGCACAAAAGGGGAAATAGTGATGATAGACCAGGTACTCAATTAATGCCATTACTGAAATTAAGTGGCTCGCCTCATGTCAGAGTATACATCACGTGACTCACGAAATGTCAGCAAACACAGATCACGTGACTCACTGAATGCCAGCACACACACAACACGTGAATCGTTGAATGTCAGCACACACATAACAGGTAACTCACCAAATGTCAACACACACAGACCACGTGACTCACTGAATACCAGCACGAACAGACCACGTGATTCGCTAAATGCCAACACACAGACCACGTGATTCGCTAAATGTCAACACACAGACCACGTAACTCACTAAATACCAACACACAGACCACGTGACTCACTTGATGTCAGAGTACAGATCACGTGACTCGCTGAATACCAGCACAAACAGACCACGTGACTCACTAAATGCCAACACACTGACCACGTGACTCACTAAATGCCAAACACACAGACCACGTGACTCACTTGATGCCCGTGATGACCGACAAGAGTGGTGACGCCGCTGCCTCGACCAGCTTCTTGGTCTCGTTGAGTGCCATGCTCTGGCCACACGTCACAGCGTCAGACAGCACGTCCATATTGCTGGAGAAATTGTGGACAGGATGGTTCATCACTAGCACCATGGCGTACATGATGAGGAATGACCTGTATAGATGGCGTACATGATGAGGAATGACCTGTATAGATGGCGTATATGATGAGAAATGACCTGTATAGATGGCGTACATGATGAGAAATGACCTGTATAGATGGCGTACATGATGAGGAATGACCTGTATAGATGGCGTACATGAGGAATGACCTGTATAGATGGCGTACATGATGACGAATGACCTGTATAGATGGTGTACATGATGCGAAATGACCTGTATAGATGGCGTACATGAGGAATGACCTGTATAGATGGCGTACATGAGGAATGACCTGTATAGATGGCGTACATGAGGAATGACCTGTATAGATGGCGTACATGAGGAATGACCTGTATAGATGGCGTACATGAGGAAATGACCTGTATAGATGGTGTACATGATGAGGAATGACCTGTATAGATGGCGTACATGATGAGGAATGACCTGTATAGATGGCGTACATGATGAGGAATGACCTGTATATAGATGAGGAATGACCTGTATAGATGGCGTACATGATGAGGAATGACCTGTATCGATGGCGTACATGATGAGGAATGACCTGTATAGATGGCGTACATGATGAGGAATGACCTGTATCGATGGCGTACATGATGAGGAATGACCTGTATAGATGGCGTACATGATGAGAATGAGGAATGACCTGTATAGATGGCGTACATGATGAGGAATGACCTGTATATATGGTGTACATGATGAGGAATGACCTGTATAGATGGCGTACATGATGGGGAATGACCTGTATAGATGGCGTACATGAGGAATGACCTGTATAGATGGTGTAAATGATGAAATGACATGTATAGATGGCGTACATTATGAAATGACCTGTACAATTTGTGTTTGTGATTTCATATTTCCAACAGAGAAAAGATAACTCTACTCCAAGATTTAAGAAAACGTCAGTGTGTCCAACATTACCTCCCTTTACTAGAGCAGAAGTTAGGTAAGGCCAGGTACACGATACAACGAACTCCTCTGAAAAATGCCAGACCAATGGACAGTCCCAGTCCTAAGATGACACACACGACCAGGGCAAACTCCATGTTGGCCTCAAGCTAAGAGAAGTTAATTATAATTATAATTTTAAAAGAATGGGGTTAAGAAAGGAAACAATAATTGCTATAGCTACAAGAGAAAAAAACTTTCTCGAGAGAGCCATGTTTAGCCTTCATGATCATGTGATTGTTTTTAAAACCAGGGAATTTTATATTACGAGGCGGAAACTTCAGATACAACCAGAGTTTCTTCCAGGCATCTCTTCGGGGGGGGGCTTCCCCCCCCCCCTCCCCCCCCATGAACGAAATGAAATTTATATAATTTAATTAGAAAATATATAATTTTAATAGTGTCCGCCCCCCCCCCCCTCCGAAGAAAGTCTACCACCCCCCCCCCCCCCAAAATTTCAAGTGCCCCCCCCCCCCCCCCGGAGAAAAAAGTCTGGAAGAAACACTGGATACAACCAAGTCATTTTCTTTTAAAATGTTTACAACAGCGTTTAGCCAGCGTGTCGAGGTTACTATTTCAAACACTCTAAGGCAGTGTAGATGCCTTAGACAGAATATTGGCGCTTTCTGTTTCTTGTTTAATCGAATGATCTATCTTTATCTGAGAACGAATGTAATTTAAAAGGCTTTTTGGTAATTTTTACATATTGGAATAAATGCAATAAGGTGTTTTAAAGATTTTTTGTTTGTTTGTGTTTCTAGCATGTTCTACTACTGTCGGTAATAGCAGTATGAAAAACATCCTAGAGTTTTGTATTACTAGTAAATCGTTTACAGCGTGGTTAAATTGTTTTTCGGACAATCCGTTTTTGATAATATGACCTTCAGATAGAGGAATTGTGACACACGGTGTTGTGACATGCTACTTTACAACACTAGGCGAATACACATCGATAGTTTTATATCTGTTTCTGAGAGGGGGGGGGGTTCTCTCATTGTGCGACCCTAGGGCGGTAATAGCTTCTCTTTGTATAATACAGTCATAGAATATATATATATATATATTTATTTATTTTTTACATTTTTTTAAAAATTTAAAACAGTAATAATAATTTATTCGATGGTTTTACACAGCTTCAAAGACATGAACATCAATTGTATATAATATAGTAACTAAATGCAGAAAATAATATGGCATAAGAACTAGACTAAAATAAGGTGTGCAAACTCGGTTTACAATTGTCTTTTTTTTTCCTTGATGTAATATTTAATTTGGAAATATTTACCGGTCACGACAAACCCCATAACAGTTGCATAAAATGCATTTTATCAAAATTGAAGAATGCCAATAGAAAATTGTTTTAACCTTTTTTCACCTTTATATATAATTGTATTTTTATTTAAAATTTCATAAAAGTTAAAAAAATTATATGGTTTTTTCAAAATTGTAATTAGTTAATTAAATACACTTAATTAACAAGCGGTGAACGTTACATTGTGTTTGTTTGTAATAGGAATTATAGCTTAATTTTATGATTTGGCAAATACTAATAGGTTAATGCCCTTGATATACTTAATAAACCGGGAGTGATCTCCCCTAAACTTTCTCGAATATTCTTATATAACTCGGAATATAGACATGATTTTAAATTACTTTTAAATTTAGAATAGAATCTCGTAGAAAAAAGAATTGCGCCCCAAGCGAACGCCAAAACAAAATGTGCATAATAGTGCGCAATATTATTAGTACTTTATAAATTTATATGCGCTTTTTGAGAAATCGAAAAAAGCGTAAATTAGTACTTCCAGTCAACGGAAATTACTCAAAATTTGATAGAACGCAGAGAATTAGATCTTTTACTTACATGTGAGATTTCATTTATCTAACTGAAACAGTACTCAAGTCATAGGCTTTTGAAAATTCAAAGTAGAAAAAGTACCACTTCCGGTTATCGGAAATCGCTCAAAAGTTGATCAGGATCTACGATTTTGACAAAATACTTATATATGAAATTTCATCAACCTAGCTGTAACGGTAATCAAGTTATCGAGTTTACACACAGACACACAGACACACAGACATACGGACAAGATTGCAAAATTATGTTTTTCCGTATCAGTGAGGTGTAAAACGTCGAGATTGTAAAAATCTCGATTTTTTTTCACGATTACAAGACTTTCTCTATACGAGAAAGTAAAAAGTATAGAATTTATAGAAAGTAATTAATAATTAGTAAATTACAAAGCATTTGAGCGTTACATTTATCGTATTAAAAAGTCAATATAAACTTGTTCAACAAAGATGCATTATTTTAATAATTGAGAGAATTATGTGCAGTGTTTCTTCCAGACTTTTTTCTCCGGGTGTGCACTTGATATTTTTTTTTTGGGGGGGTGGGGGGAGAGAGAGGGGGCGGACACTGGTAAAAGTATGTTTTCTATTCAACTTCCTTTCTGTTCGGGGGTGGGGGGTGGGGGTGGGGAGGTAGACAATCTTCGGGTGAGGAGCCCCCCTGGAAGAAACTCTGATTATGTGGGCTAGCTAATGCGAACTGTCTGACCGAATCCAACCCCCCCCCCTAGTTAGCTACACACCTTCAAACACTAACTAATGTAGTTGTCTACACACCTTCAAACACTAACTAATGTAGTTGTCTACACACCTTCAAGTACTAGCTAATGTAGTTGTCTACACACCTTCAAGTACTAACTGATGTAGTTGTCTACACACCTTCAATTACTAGCTAATGTAGTTGTCTACACACCTTCAAGCACTAACTAATGTAGTTGTCTACACACCTTCAAGTACTAGCTAATGTAGTTGTCTACACACCTTCAAGTACTAGCTAATGTAGTTGTCTACACACTTTCAAGCACTAACTAATGTAGTTGTCTACACACCTTCAAGTACTAACTAATGTAGTTGTTTACACACCTTCAAGTACTTGCTACTATAATCTAGTTGTCTACACACCTTCAAGTACTAGCTAATGTAGTTGTCTACACACTTTCAAGCACTAACTAATGTAGTTGTCTACACACCTTCAAGTACTAACTAATGTAGTTGTTTACACACCTTCAAGTACTTGTTACTTTAATCTAGTTGTCTAGACACCTTCAAGCACTAACTAATGTAGTTGTCTACACACCTTCAAGTACTTGCTACTATAATCTAGTTGTCTAGACACCTTAAAGCACTAACTAATGTAGTTGTCTACACACCTTCAAGCACTAACTAATGTAGTTGTCTACACACCTTCAATACCTAACTAATGTAGTTGTCTACACACCTCCAATACCTAACTAATGTAGTTGTCTACACACCTTCAGTCACTACCTAATGTAGTTGTCTACACACCTTCAATACCTAACTAATGTAGTTGTCTACACACCTTCAAGCACTTACTAATGTAGTTGTCTACCCACCTTCAAGCACTAACTAATGTAGTTGTCTACACACCTTCAAGCACTAACTAATGCAGTTGTCTACACATCTTCAAGCACTAAGTTAGCTGTGTACACACCTTCAAGCACTAACTAATGTAGTTGTCTACACACCTTCAAGCACTAACTAATGTAGTTGTCTACACACCTTCAAGCACTAACTAATGTTGTTGTCTACACACCTTCAAGTACTAACTAATGTAGTTGTCTACACACCTTCAAGCACTAACTAATGTAGTTGTCTACACACCTTCAAACACTAACTAATGTAGTTGTCTACACACCTTCAAGCACTAACTAATGTAGTTGTCTACACACCTTCAAGCACTAACTAATGTAGTTGTCTACACACCTTCAAACACTAACTAATGTAGTTGTCTACCAACCTGCAAACAAAGGAAGAAAAATATCGCCATGGACAGCAGAAGACCGAAACAGAAGCCGAGGAAGTTTTTGATGATGGTGTTCGGGTAGAAGCCGTCGTTACAACATTTGAAGCCCAAACTTCCTTTAGGGCAACAGAACTCGCTGGAAAAATGGGCAACATTTTATGGCAACAGAACTCGCTGGAAAATTGGGCAACATTTTATTGCAACCTAACTTGCTGGGAAAGTGGGCAATATACTTTTTTAGGGCAACAGAGCTCGCTGGCAAAGCGGGCAACATTTTAGGGCAACAACACTCACTCACAAAGTGGGCAACATTTTAGGGCAACCTAACTTACTGGGAAAGTGGAGAACATAATAATTTAGGGCAACAGAACTTGCTAGGAAAGTGGGCAACATAATGTTTGTTAGCATACCTAAGTATATGTCTTTATGTGAATGTTATGTGTACGGTGTTTGGTGCTCCCATTAGCCAAACGCTAATATGGTAGTTATTGGCAACTCTAAACGTCTTTTTCCTAGCTGTATGAGGTAAGCTACATGTAGATCTATATTGTCTACCAAGCATATGTTTTCTCTGTATCAACTATAGACATCTCTATATCGAACATACACTGATCTACTTGTTTATCAAATATACATTTATGTGTTTCAAACTTACGTATTTATGAATTAAACATACACTTGTAACATACACTTAGAAAAATTTTAATAAAAATATAATTATAATTGCTCGACATATTTACATATATATATATATATATATATATATATATATATATATATATATATATATATATATATATATATATATATATATATATATATATATATATATATATATATATATATATATATATATATATATCAAACATAAACGTGTACCAAACATGAGATGTTAATAAAAAAAAATTGAAAATGAATCTATAATTACGCGAATGTGGGGACCTCAACACAGCAGGGACAGAAGGCCCTACAGATGGTCTCCCGAATGGAGGAGGAGATGCCGTCACAACATTGTCTGAACCAGCTGGTCACGGGGGGCAGGCCGACCATCTCACGGACTGTGTTCTCCTTGGCTCGGCCCAGACGGATCAGGATTTTCCTCACCCTCAAGGCTTTCATCACCAACTCTGAGGCCGACATTGTGGGAAATCTTCAATCAAAGCAATGGAAGCGTGACAAATATTTCAAGGCGATTTCGTTAACGCGTTGAATCAAACTAGTAGCATTTTGACAAATATTTCTAGATAATTTCTTCCATTGAATCAAATTAGTGACATCTTGACAAATATTTCTTGATAATTTCTTTCATTGAATCAACAATGGAAGCTTGATATATTATATTTCTAGACGATTTCTTTTCTTTGTTTTCATTAACGGAGATGGCATGATATTTTTTATGCCACGCACATTGCTGCGCACATTTTAATGACGTCATTATAAAAATATGTTTATTTTAAAATATTAGCTCGAATCATTAGCAGACATTAAAAGTTTGTTTCCTGATCTACCCCACACCCGCGCTACCCCATAATTCAATGAATGTGGATGCTAATGCAGCAAATTAGCTTGAATTAGGAGTCTCATTATTTAACATATCAGGAAAGTTAATTAAATAACAGTTGATTCTCAAACTAAACTTCCAGTAGACCCCAATTGTATAGCTAGGCACATTGTCACACAACACTCGCTAGCAGAGGCGTAGCGAGGGGGGGGGGGGGCGGGGGGGTGTGGACCGCACCGGGTGACACCATTTAGGGGGGGGGGGTGACACCAAGGCAAAAAATAGCATAATATATAGAGAAAAACCTGAGGGGGGATGCAAATCGAAAGTTTGAGGGGGGTGAAATCGAAAATTTGAAAGTTTGTCCCCGGGAAGGGTCACTACGCCTTTGGGGGTGACACCATTAAGAGCCGCACCGGGTGACACCCGAGTTCGCTACGCCACTGCTCTCTAGTAGTGGACCGTTGTGACGTCACTTATCACTACTTCACCGTAGTCTAAAGATATCGATTTATCATCGATATCTGCTGACCATCTTTTGTTGAAAGTATGTCGAGCAACCAAAGACACTTAGTTTTTAAAAAATGTACTCGCTGAAATTTTAAAAATATTATGAATAAATTCTACACATGTATCATAGAACTTTGATTTCGTTAAGTGGATTCGTATAGTAGTATAAATCTACCCTGGAAACTGATTGGTCAATCCCCATTTTACAAGGTGAAGGTCAGTGTTGATAGCAACTCTCTAATCTTGATAACATTCGCGCCTAAAGATCTACTTCTAGTCAGTTGTCATTGTGCTTAGTCAGATCTTAACCCAGATGTCTGTGTGTACGTGTGTTCTGTGAGCTGAGGCGTGTTGGGTGTGTGTTACACAGGAAGTCGCTCACCTAACGATGACACGGACATGGTTGACCGCCTGCGTGGCTGTCTTGACCTTGACCCTGGCAGCTGGTCAGGTCAAGCCGCGCAGCTGTGTTAGACAAGACGACTGCAGCTGTAGGTTTGATGACACCGGAGCTGTGGTCAACATCCGACCACTGGCCAAAAGCGACGGCACACCACTGTAAGTCTTTTCTTCATGGCCCGCCACTGTAAGTCTTTACTTCATGGCCCGCCACTGTAAATCTTTACTTCATGGCCCGCCACTGTAAGGCTTTACTTCATGGCCCGCCACTGTAAATCTTTACTTCATGGCCCGCCACTGTAAGTCTTTACTTCATGGCCCGCCACTGTAAGTCTTTACTTCATGGCCCGCCACTGTAAATCTTTACTTCATGGCCCGCCACTGTAAGTCTTTACTTCATGGCCCGCCACTGTAAGTCTTTACTTCATGGCCCGCCACTGTCTTTACTTCATGGCCCGCCACTGTAAATCTTTACTTCATGGCCCGCCACTGTAAATCTTTACTTCATGGCCCGCCGCTGTAAGTCTTTACTTCATGGCCCGCCACTGTAAGTCTTTACTTCATGGCCCGCCACTGTAAGTCTTTACTTCATGGCCCGCCACTGTCTTTACTTCATGGCCCGCCACTGTAAGTCTTTACTTCATGGCCCGCCACTGTAAATCTTTACTTCATGGCCCGCCACTGTAAATCTTTACTTCATGGCCCGCCACTGTAAATCTTTACTTCATGGCCCGCCGCTGTAAGTCTTTACTTCATGGCCCGCCACTGTAAGTCTTTACTTCATGGCCCGCCACTGTAAGTCTTTACTTCATGGCCCGCCACTGTCTTTACTTCATGGCCCGCCACTGTAAGTCTTTACTTCATGGCCCGCCACTGTAAATCTTTACTTCATGGCCCGCCACTGTAAGTCTTTACTTCATGGCCCGCCACTGTCTTTACTTCATGGCCTGCCACTGTAAATCTTTACTTCATGGCCCGCCACTGTAAGTTTTTACTTCATGGCCCGCCACTGTAAGTCTTTACGTCATGGCCCGCCACTGTAAGTCTTTACTTCATGGCCCGCCACTGTAAGTCTTTACGTCATGGCCCGCCACTGTAAGTCTTTACGTCATGGCCCGCCACTGTAAGTTTTTACTTCATGCCCCCCCCCCACTGTAAGTCTTTACTTCATGGCCCGCCACTGTAAGTCTTTACTTCATGGCCCGCCACTGTAAATCTTTACTTCATGGCCCGCCACTGTAAGTCTTTACTTCATGGCCCGCCACTGTAAGTCTTTACTTCATGGCCCGCCACTGTCTTTACTTCATGGCCCGCCACTGTCTTTACTTCATGGCCCGCCACTGTAAGCCTTTACTTCATCTTTTGCTCAACGCTTTAGCCACATAAGAAGTGATGACTGCGACAATTAGCTAGATCTAGACAAGCCTGATATCTTTCATGCCAGCATCCAAAGTCAACACTCAGTTCATTTCTTGTTGTAATCCATTGATCTACTTTCATAAGGATTAATTTAAATTTGTGGTGAAATTCATATAATGTACATTCATTCCAAAACGTTAATGGAATCCACCAGAACACCTATTCTAAGACGTAACACACAAACTAAATACTTTAGTTCTTCTATTTCCTCTTGCCTGTATTTGCTGGCGAAACCTTTTTCACAAGACATGCTCACTTTCTTCTAAATTTATCCATATTATGACGGATCTCAATACAACTTTCAAAATGATTTCCTGTAGGTTCAAGGACGTCACAGGCAAAGATGGTTTACTGTATTCATACAACCCCTGCGTGCCTTTCACAGAGGATCAGTGTGTTCACAGTGCTGTAAGTTTGGTTGTGGTGTGTTCACAGTGCTGTAAGTTTGGTTGTGGTGTGTTCACAGTGCTGTAAGTTTGGTTGTGGTGTGTTCATAGTGCTGTAAATTTGGTTGTGGTGTGTTCTCAGTGCTGTAAGTTTGGTTGTGGTGTGTTCATAGTGCTGAGATGTAAGTTTGGTTGTGGTGTGTTCATAGTGCTGTAAGTTTGGTTGTGGTGTGTTCATAGTGCTGTAAGTTTGGTTGTGGTGTGTTCACAGTGCTGTAAGTTTGGTTGTGGTGTGTTCACAGTGCTGTAAGTTTGGTTGTAGTTTGTTCACGGTGCTGTATGTTTAGTTGTGGTGTGTTCATAGTGCTGAGATGTAAGTTTGGTTGTAGTGTGTTCATGGTGTTGTATGTTTAGTTGTGGTGTGTTCATAGTGCTGAGATGTAAGTTTGGTTGTGGTGTGTTCACAGTGCTGAGATGTAAGTTTGGTTGTGGTGTAATCACAGTGCTGTAGGTTTGGTTGTGGTGTGTTCACAGTGCTGTAGGTTTGGTTGTGGTGTGTTCATAGTGCTGAGATGTAAGTTTGGTTGTGGTGTGTTCATAGTGCTGAGATGTAAGTTTGGTTGTGGTGTGTTCATAGTGCTGAGATGTAAGTTTGGTTGTGGTGTGTTCACAGTGCTGAAGGTTTGGTTGTGGTGTGTTCATAGTGCTGTAAGTTAAGTTGTAGTGTTCAGAGCGCTGTAAGTTTGGTTGTGGTGTGTTCATAGTGCTGAGATGTAAGTTTGGTTGTGGTGTGTTCATAGTGCTGAGATGTAAGTTTGGTTGTGGTGTGTTCACAGTGCTGAGATGTAAGTTTGGTTGTGGTGTGTTCATAGTGCTGTAAGTTAAGTTGTAGTGTTCAGAGCGCTGTAAGTTTGGTTGTGGTGTGTTCACAGTGCTGTATGTTTAGTTGTGGTGTGTTCACAGCGCTGTAGGTTTGGTTATAGTGTGTTCACAGTGCTCCAAATTTGGATGTAGTGTGATCACTGTATGTGTTACCGAAGCATATCTTACCTTTCTATTACCTGCATGTTCCAGGTATGCCAACGTGAAGGCACCAACGGAACTGCCAAGTCCCTGGTCAACCAGACCAACGCTCAGTTTGGCTTTGACGGACATCACGTGCAGCTGACCTACTTCTCATCAGCCGGTGGTTTGTTGAGGTCATTGACGATTTATTTTTATATTTTAAATGTTCATGTACTACATTTTTAAGATCGAGGGCGATTGGATATAGATATAAAAACTTTAGAAAGATTTACCAGCACTAAATTCACGTTTGAGAATATATGCTTAGCTTTAGACAAGTTGTAATATTTAATAATGATCTTGTTCCGTCTTCAGGTCAGCAGTTGTGAGCCTGGTGTGTTTAGTGAATCAAACTACTCCTGTCTTCACTGCCTATGGTTATGATGAAGGCAGTAAACTTTATGTAAGTCTTTGTGAGACACAATAAACTTTATGTAAGTCTTCGTGAGACACAATAAACTTTATGTAAGTCTTTGTGAGACTAGACACAATAAACGTTATGTAAGTCTTTGTGATCCTTGTGTGTTTAGTGAACAAGAAAACGAGAAAACTCCAAATTTATTCTAGGGTGGACAAGGACTATGGGGACAAAAAAAATAAATAAAGCAAGCTAAAATTAGAGTTAACAAACCATGTACGGGGCATGATTGACACGTAATACTTGAAAGTGTTTGAGGACATCCCCTCCACTATTACAATACAGGACGTGTCTTGACGTGTCTTGACGTCTCTCCCCAGAACTTCCAGCTGGGCTCCCAGTGTGCGTGTGAGAACGGCTGCTACACTGCCCCTGATGACGGAGGGATAAGTGCAGGCTCCGTGCTCATCATAATGTGAGTTTTTATACTGTTGCAGCTGCTCGTTAGTTTGTATATGTAATGTTTATAAAACATAAGAGATCTAAAGCAAACCTTCCACCCCTCTATAATCAGATTTTTTGTGACTGTGTTCCTGTACCTGTCCCTCGGGTCAGTCCATGGATGTGTCAATAAAGGGGAGTCAGGTGTGCAGGTGGTGCCACATTACCAGTTCTGGCTAGGATTTCCTGGACTGGTTAAGGTAGTTTTACCAGCTTCTGTTTCTTTCTTTTAAAATATTCGATTTCCTAACCTTTTTATTTTCTTTATTCGTTTTGTTTTTAATTTCGTTTTTCTAACTCACTGTTAAATTTAAGTTCCTGTTTTTATTTTATTTTTTATTTTTTTTTCAATTTCATCTTTTCTTTAAAAATTCTACCTAGTATCGTATTGAAATTTAGTCTCATACTGCTTGGGTTATAATTATTAACTTGATATTATTGTAATATAGCGTGATATATATTGCGAGATATATAGTGTGACATATTGTGTGACATATTGTGAGATATATTGTGTGACGTGACTTATTGTGAGACCAAACTTGTGGTGCATATTACACTACCATAAAGTGGTACTGTATTTACAGGATGGTTGCTTGTTTGTGGTTAGATGTGCTTGCTGCCAACCCGCCCCTGTCAAATACGATGGTGTATGAATGGCTTCAACTGATTACATTATGTTATATACATTTATATATCAATTTATCAATACATTATGTTAACATCGCTTTATGTATCAACATATCAATAATTTTTGTGTTTGTTTTACACTGCGTCATTTTGTGATAGTCTGATAGATAAAAATATGATGTGGACCCGTGGTTGGTTAAAATGACAATGATGAAGAAATCAAGTAGGTGGGGGGGGGGGGGGGTGAAAATGAATGATGTCAACTTACGATGGGGGTGACAGTAAAAAGTTTACCAACTTACGATAAAGTCACACCATAATGTGATTACTACAATAACGTTTTAACCTAATGAAAATGAAAATTAAGCATTTCTCTTTTGAGAACTTTTTACCAGGGTCGTAGTTTATCAGATCCTTGATTGGGGGTCGGCGTGGTCAGTTCGGTAAAGCTCATGGTTGCTAAATGAAAGATTCCGAGTTTGAAACCTCGGACACTTGAGGCACGATGGCTAGGGACAGCTACTCTTCTAGGAGAGACAACTCCGAAATGAAACAACAGCTGCCTTGTAGTTTGTTTTTGGTTGGATAAAGGCTATGGTAGTAAAGTTAGGAAAAAAAGCCGGTCGAAATTGCAATCAATGGCATATAACAGGTTAACACGTAATACTTGATTGTGATGGAGAAAATCAATCCAACATAACAATCAAGAAAGAAGAAGAAGAAGATCCCTGATGATTCATAACATAAATCACTTTGCTTACATTTAAGTGTTTCAAATTAAATGGTTCCATCGGGAATTCCAGACTCACAGGCCGATAGTCTTGTATATTGTGCTGTTTTTTTAAAGAGCCAAAACCTATCAGAAAATTGTCTCGAACTTATCTCAGTTTTCACCTCTCATTTCACCTGTGTGTGAGTGAAATGACCTACACATATAACACTTCGATACTTGCCGTAGTTCCAGCGCCGGCGCCAGGTTATTTAGCGCCCTAGGCAAAACTTATTAACCCCCCCCCCTTTCACACAAACTAGTTGCTAAAACATATGTATAAGAAAACAATTGATTAAAAGTGACTTATTAATTTATTATCAATTGCACACACGTTATAAGTACACATCCAAATCAAATTCAATTCCAGTTTGCAAGCGTAATCTTATTCTATTGAAATTGCTGCTAAGTCCACGAGGCTACTTTGAACTTTACTACATAGCCCCCCCCCCCCCACCTTAGAAAATTTCAAGTGCTTACCCCCCCCCCCCCTCCTCCCTTTCTCCCGGGAGAAAAAAGTCTGGAAAAAAAACACTGAAGTTCTTATAGTGTTGGGCTCTCTGCAAACCTCCCAAGGTGAGTTCCAGAACGGACCTTACCTGTCTTTCGTTATAATTGTAAAATGTCTATATTGTGTGATGATGTAACGATTTTTTTTTTTAAAAAAAAGGTTATAAATGTTATAGATTCCTTCCTACAAATTGTTATATATGAATCCTTTAGGATAACGTCAAAAATATGAAAAAACCACTTAATTAATTAGATGATTAATTTGCGACTACGACGATTTTAGACGCATTTGTTGCACTATCTCATAATGTATGTCTACAAACATTAAGTATTGCAATCTACAAAGGCTACTGATGTATTTGTTTTTTCTACTTGATAATGCTAAAAAATCTACCAAACTATTTTGTTTAGAACTTCTGCTCTATATAATTTGTACGATATCAAATAATAACTTGTAATAAGTTGATTTATAAGTAAGCGGTCAACCTACGGTGCAGGAATTTGAAATAAATGGAAAGTTAAGCAACGAATTATCTCCCATTTGGAGTTCCAAATACCAAAACATTTTTCAAGGGAAATGACTTTCACAAAAATAGCTAAATTAACCAAGCGTAACTAATACATGCTTGAAAAACATCATAAAACGCTCCAAATTTCATGTGGTAATAAATAGATTTTATGTGAGCTATGTAGCTGTGTCAAAAGAACATATTTTACTCTTTGAATACTTAACTGTAGGTTTTGTATGAAAGTCTAAATACGGTAACTTTATTTTAACACACTTCTAGTCAATTATGATGACATTCAATTGTCTTTAGTGAGTTGATAAATTTGATATAATTAATTTTGGATCCCTTAAATAAAGGGACGCCCTTAAAGAAAATCAAATACGGGTAAGTTAAGACATTGCTAAAATTATAAATAAAAATATAAATAAACTACAATTTGAAAAAAAAACTTTACGGTTAGTTATAAATTGTCTATTACATATTAACGAGCCGACCCGCAGCGTATCATACGCCGCTATTTAGTTGTTTTATTTTCTACTTTTCAGTAATTCATAATTTGTGAATTCGACAGTACCAATGCTGCCACTGAAAATATTTGCTTTAAAACACTAACCCCCCCCTTTCCCCTAACCCCGACCCTACACCCCCCCCCCCCCCCCGTGAAAGCAGCCTCCTCTTAGTTATTTCTTAGTTACCTCCTCTAAGTTTAAAATCGAACTAAATTATCTGCCCCTAATAGAAACCCGGCTTTACGGCTCTACGATTTGTAAACATTTAGCGTGACCACAGCTCACCAGACAATGTGGGGGTGGGGTGGGGGTGGTAGTGATAGTGATAGAGAGAAAGAGAGGGGACTGCAAGGAGGCGCTTGCAGCTTGTTTTCTAACGGCTCCCAGAAGAGAATTATATATATAGATAGATACTTTAAGAGTGGTAATATAGATTCCTAAAAAACTAAAGATTCTTCAGCTAGAGAACCATTCTTTGTAGTGTGTTCCATCCTGAATTGAAATCATCTAACTTACAATAAACTCGACTACTTGATAGACTTTACTACATTAACAACAAATATCAAACTTCGATACATAAACATAACTAGACTCGATGCTCAAGAACTACGACACCACCTCGCTTAACTTCACCAAGCTCTACAAATGGTACTCCCAATCAACAACGATTTAACTGGATCTAGTACTACACGTTAACAGTCAACACAATTCGATACCTTAATACCACAAGACTCGATACTCCCGAACTCCCGAACTACGATACCTCATCACCTAAATTCACATTTCTCTACTACCATTCAGATTCCACTAGACCTTCAACTGCGCAACAGCCGCTACTCCCAAATCTAAACGATTCCTAAAAACTTACCAAACAAGTATAATACTTTGAACACCCCGTCATTACAAAACTCTATACACCAGAACAGATTTCTAAATCAAAGTCAGAGAAACGAGACTTACCAGCCCTATTAAAACCAAAATTGCGAGTGATTTGGAACGCCCCGTCATGCGCTGGAGCGATCACTAAATCAACATTAAAATGAGAAAACCGTTTGAAATGTTCGAAATGTAAATTACGGACTTATTTAAATCGATTTCTACATCAATTATGTGACACCAAAATAAAAACGCAAAGTGACTGGTAAAAAGCGCCCCGACCTTTCCAAATTAGGGAGGTGGGGAATACATATATGCCTATATAGACCTACTTTTGGGGTGTGGGTGCAAAATTGATAGTTCGTCCTGGGCGCCGGAATAGATACGCCTTTGTATATTACCATCTATAGTTTATAAAAGATAATCAAAGTTATGAATTATTAGGTTTTTTTATAATAGCGAGTAAACCTTTTTGCGCCCCCCTAGAGATGGCGCCCTAGGCGACCGCCCAGTTCGCCTTATAGGTAGCACCGGCCCTGCTTAGTTAACGCTGCACTATAATTTGACGAGTTTGCTGTTTGTTGGGATGTTTGATCTGCGTGAAACAGTTGATTACACTTACATACCAGTTGGTTACACTTACATCCCAGTTGATTACACTTACATACCAGTTGATTACACTTACATACCAGTTGATTACACTTACCAGTTGGTTACACTTACATACCACTTGATTAAACTTACATACCAGTTGATTACACTTACATACCAGTTGATTACACTTACATACCAGTTGATTACACTTACATACCAGTTGATTACACTTACATACCAGTTGATTACACTTACATACCAGTTGATTACACTTACCAGTTGGTTACACTTACATACTAGTTGATTACACTTACATACCAGTTGATTACACTTACATACCGGTTGATTACACTTACATACCAGTTGATTACACTTACCAGTTGGTTACACTTACATACCAGTTGATTACACTTACATACCAGTTGATTACACTTACATACCAGTTGATTACACTTACATACCAGTTGATTACACTTACATACCAGTTGATTACACTTACATACCAGTTGATTACACTTACATACCAGTTGATTACACTTACCAGTTGGTTACACTTACATACTAGTTGATTACACTTACATACCAGTTGATTACACTTACATAACGGTTGATTACACTTACATACCAGTTGATTACACTTACCAGTTGGTTACACTTACATACCAGTTGATTACACTTACATACCAGTTGATTACACTTACATACCAGTTGATTACACTTACATACCAGTTGATTACACTTACATACCAGTTGGTTACACTTACATACCAGTTGATTACACTTACATACCAGTTGGTTACACTTACATCCCAGTTGATTACACTTACATACCAGTTGATTACACTTACATACCAGTTGATTACACTTACCAGTTGGTTACACTTACATACCAGTTGATTACACTTACATACCAGTTGATTACACTTACATACCAGTTGATTACACTTACATACCAGTTGATTACACTTACATACCAGTTGATTACACTTACATACCAGTTGGTTACACTTACATCCCAGTTGATTACACTTACATACCAGTTGATTACACTTACATACCAGTTGATTACACTTACCAGTTGGTTACACTTACATACCACTTGATTAAACTTACATACCAGTTGATTACACTTACATACCAGTTGATTACACTTACATACCAGTTGATTACACTTACATACCAGTTGATTACACTTACATACCAGTTGATTACACTTACATACCAGTTGATTACACTTACCAGTTGGTTACACTTACATACTAGTTGATTACACTTACATACCAGTTGATTACACTTACATACCGGTTGATTACACTTACATACCAGTTGATTACACTTACCAGTTGGTTACACTTACATACCAGTTGATTACACTTACATACCAGTTGATTACACTTACATACCAGTTGATTACACTTACATACCAGTTGATTACACTTACATACCAGTTGATTACACTTACATACCAGTTGATTACACTTACATACCAGTTGATTACACTTACCAGTTGGTTACACTTACATACTAGTTGATTACACTTACATACCAGTTGATTACACTTACATAACGGTTGATTACACTTACATACCAGTTGATTACACTTACCAGTTGGTTACACTTACATACCAGTTGATTACACTTACATACCAGTTGATTACACTTACATACCAGTTGATTACACTTACATACCAGTTGATTACACTTACATACCAGTTGGTTACACTTACATACCAGTTGATTACACTTACATACCAGTTGGTTACACTTACATCCCAGTTGATTACACTTACATACCAGTTGATTACACTTACATACCAGTTGATTACACTTACCAGTTGGTTACACTTACATACCACTTGATTAAACTTACATACCAGTTGATTACACTTACATACCAGTTGATTACACTAACCAGTTGATTACACTTACATACCAGTTGATTACACTTACATACCAGTTGATTACACTTACATACCAGTTGATTACACTTACATACCAGTTGATTACACTTACATACCAGTTGATTACACTTACATACCAGTTGGTTACACTTACATACCAGTTGATTACACTTACATACCAGTTGATTACACTTACATACCAGTTGATTACACTTACATACCAGTTGATTACACTTACATACCAGTTGGTTACACTTACATACCAGTTGGTTACACTTACATACCAGTTGATTACACTTACATACCAGTTGATTACACTTACATACCAGTTGGTTACACTTACATACCAGTTGATTACACTTACATACCAGTTGATTACACTTACATACCAGTTGATTACACTTACCAGTTGGTTACACTTACATACCAGTTGATTACACTTACATACCAGTTGATTACACTTACATACCAGTTGGTTACACTTACATACCAGTTGATTACACTTACATACCAGTTGGTTACACTTACATACCAGTTGATTACACTTACATACCAGTTGATTACACTTACATACCAGTTGGTTACACTTACATACCAGTTGATTACACTTACATACCAGTTGATTACACTTACCAGTTGGTTACACTTATATACCAGTTGATTACACTTACATACCAGTTGATTACACTTACATACCAGTTGGTTACACTTACATACCAGTTGATTACACTTACCAGTTGGTTACACTTACATCCCAGTTGATTACACTTACATACCAGTTGATTACACTTACATACCAGTTGGTTACACTTACATACCAGTTGGTTACACTTACATACCAGTTGATTACACTTACATACCAGTTGATTACACTTACATACCAGTTGATTACACTTACCAGTTGGTTACACTTACATACCAGTTGATTACACTTACATACCAGTTGGTTACACTTCCATACCAGTTGATTACACTTACATACCAGTTAATTACACTTACATACCAGTTGGTTACACTTCCATACCAGTTGGTTACACTTCCATACCAGTTGATTACACTTACATACCAGTTAATTACACTTCCATACCAGTTGATTACACTTTCATACCAGTTGATTACACTTACATACCACTTGATTAAACTTACATACCAGTTGATTACACTTCCATCCCAGTTAATTACACTTACATACCAGTTGGTTACACTTACATACCAGTTGATTACATCCCCATACCAGTTGATTACACTTACATACCAGTTGGCTACACTTACATACCAGTTGGTTACACTTCCATACCAGTTGATTACACTTACATACCAGTTAATTACACTTACATACCAGTTGATTACACTTACATACCAGTTGATTACACTTACATACCAGTTGATTACACTTACATACCAGTTGATTACACTTACATACCAGTTGATTACACTTACCAGTTGGTTACACTTACATACCAGTTGATTACACTTACCAGTTGGTTACACTTACATACCAGTTGGTTACACTTACATATCAGTTGGTTACACTTACATACCAGTTGGTTACACTTACATACCAGTTGATTACACTTACATACCAGTTGATTACACTTACATACCAGTTGATTACACTTACATACCAGTTGATTACACTTACATACCAGTTGATTACACTTACATACCAGTTGGTTACACTTACATACCAGTTGATTACACTTACATACCAGTTGATTACACTTTCATACCAGTTGATTACACTTACATACCACTTGATTAAACTTACATACCAGTTGATTACACTTCCATCCCAGTTAATTACACTTACATACCAGTTGGTTACACTTACATACCAGTTGATTACACTTACATACCAGTTGGTTACACTTACATACCAGTTGATTACACTTACAAACCAGTTGATTACACTTACATACCAGTTGATTACACATACCAGTTGATTACACTTACATACCAGTTGATTACATCCACATACCAGTTGATTACTCTTACATACCAGTCTATTACACTTACATACCAGTTAATTACACTTACATACCAGTTGATTACATCCACATACCAGTTGATTACACTTACATACCAGTTGATTACACTTACATACCAGTTGATTACACTTCCACACCAGTTGATTACACTTACATACCAGTTGATTACACTTACATACCAGTTGGTTACACTTACATACCAGTTGATTACACTTACATACCAGTTGGTTAAACTTACATACCAGTTAGTTACACTTACATATCAGTTGATTACACTTACATACCAGTTGGTTACACTTCCATACCAGTTGATTACACTTACATACCAGTTGATTACACTTACATACCAGTTGGTTACACTTCCATACCAGTTGATTACACTTACATACCAGTTGGTTACACTTACATACCAGTTGGTTACACTTACATACCAGTTGATTACACTTACATACCAGTTGATTACACTTCCATACCAGTTGATTACACTTACATACCAGTTGATTACACTTACATACCAGTTGGTTACACTTACATACCAGTTGATTACACTTCCATACCAGTTGATTACACTTCCATACCAGTTGATTACACTTCCATCCCAGTTGATTACACTTACATACCAGTTGATTACCCTTACATACCAGTTGATTACACTTACATACCTGTTGATTACACTTACATACCAGTTGATTACACTTACATACCAGTTGGTTACACTTACATACCAGTTGGTTACACTTACATACCAGTTGATTACACTTACAAACCAGTTGATTACACTTACATACCAGTTGATTACACATACCAGTTGATTACACTTACATACCAGTTGATTACATCCACATACCAGTTGATTACTCTTACATACCAGTCTATTACACTTACATACCAGTTAATTACACTTACATACCAGTTGATTACATCCACATACCAGTTGATTACACTTACATACCAGTTGATTACACTTACATACCAGTTGATTACACTTCCATACCAGTTGATTACACTTACATACCAGTTGATTACACTTACATACCAGTTGGTTACACTTACATACCAGTTGATTACACTTACATACCAGTTGGTTAAACTTACATACCAGTTAGTTACACTTACATACCAGTTGATTACACTTACATACCAGTTGGTTACACTTCCATACCAGTTGATTACACTTACATACCAGTTGATTACACTTACATACCAGTTGGTTACACTTCCATACCAGTTGATTACACTTACATACCAGTTGGTTACACTTACATACCAGTTGGTTACACTTCCATACCAGTTGATTACACTTACATACCAGTTGATTACACTTACATACCAGTTGGTTACACTTACATACCAGTTGATTACACTTACATACCAGTTGATTACACTTCCATACCAGTTGATTACACTTACATACCAGTTGATTACACTTACATACCAGTTGGTTACACTTACATACCAGTTGATTACACTTCCATACCAGTTGATTACACTTCCATACCAGTTGATTACACTTCCATCCCAGTTGATTACACTTACATACCAGTTGATTACCCTTACATACCAGTTGATTACACTTACATACCTGTTGATTACACTTACATACCAGTGACCAGCAAACAGCTTATACTTTCAGATTTACAAATTGTAAACGTCATTTGAAAACCTTATTATTCAAATCAGAATACCTTAAAATGTAAATAAAAGAAAATATAAAGTTTTAAAATCAATTCAAACACAAACAGGCACAAGAATTGAGTGTATTGCTACATTATTTTTATAACGGGAGCTCATTGACATAATCAACATAATCAAATTATAGTTAATTGACAATTTAATTTATTTAACACTGTGTACAAAATCTGCATAAAAATGTGTACAGGTATTATGTGTACGTCATCAGTCACGTCTTAGCGCCAGTGTTTCTTCCAGACTTTTTTCTCGGGGGTGGGAAGGGGGGAACACTGTTAGAAGAAGAAACACTGGTCTTAGCAAAGACGAAAAAAAATCACTCCGCGAATTTGACAGCGTACACTAAGTGAGATGTCACTCCCTCTATCTACATCTTGCCCGTAGGTTGCCTTGCTCAGTTAAATAATATAAAATAACATATGGTATTATAATAACGTCAAAATAAAACAAAATGTCTTTTGTCGATGTTACAAAGGTTTTTTTTTCAAAGAGTTGATAATAATCATCATCGTTCTGTTGTAAGATTCACCCCAGAAAGTATAGAATCTCTGTTGTGATTACCAAAGCCAGATAGGAAGTGGTCTAATGAAGTGGTCTAATGAAGTGGTCTAATGAAGTGGTCTGATGGAGTGGTCTAACGATGTGGTCTAATGAAGTGGTCTAATGAAGTTGTCTAATGAAGTGGTCCCACGAAGTGGTCCCACGAAGTGGTCTAATGAAGTGGTCTAATGAAGTGGTCTAATGAAGTTGTCTAATGAAGTGGTCCCACGAAGTGGTCTAATGAAGTGGTCTAATGAAGTGGTCTAATGAAGTGGTCTAATGAAGTGGTCTAATGAAGTGGTCTAATGAAGTGGTCTAATGAAGTGGTCTAATGATGTGGTCTGCTTGACAAGATGTGGCGCTGCTCTACTGCAACTGTGCGATCAAACGTTGTTATACTCTCCCTTGTTACGTCTGCACACAAAATCCCAGGATAACCGGAAGCCGTCCTGTGGATTTAAAAAATGGCGGACAAATCAACACGCACACAGCTGAACACGCAAGTTTCGTAAGATGTTGACAATATCAGAAGCTAACAATGTAAATATGTTGATGACATTAGAAGCTAATATCGGCAATGTAAATATGTTGATGACATTAGAAGCTAACATTGCTAGTGTAGAGATGTAGGCTACCAGTGGCTTGCAGACCCAAAGTTTACACTTGACAAAGTTTACTGGACAGACCCAACAAACTCAACGGAAAAAGTGGCCTACTGAGACCAACATTCAAGATATTTACATTGAAAGACTCAATACTCACCAGGTGTGTAGAATTTCTTCAAACTCATGGATTTAATGTTTTCAGCTAGCTAGTCAACACGTATTAGAAGCGGCAAAATATTTAAACATTGTTAACTAAAGACTGAACTGAATGCTATAGGGGAATGAACTCACTAGGATTAACCCAGGAAGAGCTGTCCAAAAGTTGAAGTTGGGGATTATCTCCTTGCCCCCTGTCTTTGTTCTGGTGTAGTTGAAAACCATCCCACCCACAAAGTAAACAAACAGTAAACAAAAGAATCTGTGGACAAAAGGAGAACATTGGAGGGCAACAAATATCCTCGTCGTCTTGCTGGAAAAACTACCCTGAGATTGAAATCAAGAGAGGAAGCTAGAAAATGTCGTTGTCTACATACACAATGAGCATAATTGATCCAACTGTCAGTCCTTCTGAGCTAGATGGTGGATCAATGTGCTTACACGTGTTGGGACAATTACACATGGACCACATGCTCATCGACTGAAACACAAAGCAAAAAGTCAGCAAAATATTTCATAATAAAATGTCATTAAACGATGTGAGAAATCTTATTACAGTACATGTTGTTAGTCTTTATACCAGCGTGTGTGTCGTGATAACGCACATCAATACGGATTTAACATGCTCGTTCTGTGGAGTGTTGTTGTGACAGAGGCTTGACCACAACAGGATGACCAGTGGTCAACCCATACTAGCCTAGTGAACACGTAATGAAACAACTGCGCAACAACAAGTCTGTAATAGAATGACTTGAGTCTCTCATGTTCACTAGAGCTCATAAGTTTCAAGTCTAGAAGTCCTTACCACAACATTAGGTATCGATTCTCCAATCACATCCAGTTGCGCTGTCGTGTACTTCTGATCGCAGTACAGTATCACATCCGTTTTTCTGGAATATATGTATATATATATATATATATATATATATATATATATATATATATATATATATATATATATATATACACTGAGAGCATAAATACGTTTATAGGCATACTGCCATATAATAAATTGATAAATTGTATTGCACACCCAAAAAAAAAAAAATTAACCCATAAACAACCAACGCTCAAGTAAAATCACGTGATCAGAGTTCAAAGGTGACTCCTACTTGCCGGAATCGGAGGTGTAAGTGACCACTGGGTAGTAGCCGTTATAAGACCACGTGGTCTTTGACTGGAGGCCAACATCGACGTAATCACTGCCCGACCTCTTGCACACCTGCAGAAAGTAAACATCCGATGACGTCACGAACTACCGGATGTTGACATAGTATCTAATTTAAGAGTAAGACGCATCACGTGACAGGACAAACACAACTTACGGCGGCGTCACGACAGTTGCCCAAACTGAGGGGGAAACACGGGTTGTAGGAGTAGAAGTTGCCGTTGTAATCCATCTCGTCTGCAAATCTTTGACAGGGAGAAAGGAAGGAGATTAGATAAACAGGTAAATTTAACGTCCGAAATCTTAAGGAGGTTGCCGGCAAAAAAAACTTACGAAGGTTGCTCTCCAAAAGCTTTTTTAGATTTGCCGTCCAAAAACTAACGTAGTTTTGCCTTCCAAATACTTAGGTAGGTTTGCCGTAAAAAAAACTAACGTAGATTTTCCGTCAAAAAACTAACGTAGTTTTGCCTTCCAAATACTTAGGTAGGTTTGCCGTAAAAAAACTAACGTAGATTTGCCGTAAAAAAACTAACGTAGTTTTGCCTTCCAAATACTTAGGTAGGTTTGCCGTAAAAAAACTAACGTAGATTTGCCGTCAAAAAACTAACGTAGGTTTGCCGTCCAAAAACTTACGTAGGTTGGCCGTCCAAAAAAGTACGTAGGTTTGCCGTCCAAAAACTTACGTAGGTTTGCCGTCCAGTCGCCCGATACTGCTGATATCAACGACGCCCCGACCGTCGCTGTACCGACACCGACAGGCATCGATGCCGTCACAGCTGACGGCCGTCACAATGTCACCCTGACCTACTAGACAGGTGACCAACAGGAAGTGGATGTAAACCACGCTGTCCGTCGCCATGGCAACAACACACAGGGGACGTCACTTTAAAACAGAACCTAGCGTTAATCTAAAACCCAGCACTAGAGTGGCATTTAAGTTGTGTCACAATGTCATCTAGATGTCAACTGGATGACACACAATGTCACGTTGACCCAGGCTTGTATGACATCAGCTTAAAATTAGTCCTCGAGGTCCTAACACAGTTAGGTCCTAGTCCTAGTTGAAGCATCAACACAGAACTGCAACACACCATGAACTCTAAGGTAAAAGTGAACCAGTGTACAACACAAGACTAGAGTTATCAGCCCTGATAGATATTGTTTCGTTATCTGGTATTTATGCAATGGTTATCAGATAAAGTTCATCGTATTTAAAATACCACTACAACGTAGTAGAATCTACTGTAATCTACACGAACACACTAAATAAAAGTCACCCGTCGTGTTTTATTTGTGAGATATTCAGCAGCAGATCTTTGTTATTGATAAATTGAATGCACTCGATCGTCACTAGATTGTTGTTATACAATCGCTAGTGGTATTTAGTAGTCTCTGAATGTTGTATTTATTTATTGTTGTGTTAGTGATCTGAAGCCTAGTCTAATTCAAATGACAAAGTAATTGTATAGCTAGTTATTCAATACAGAGATTATGTCAAAATCAAATTATTTCACAATCAGAAAAGAGGTTATGTTACTAACGATAGTGAGATGTTGTGACAATGGAAAATATATTTCTTTTTTATAAATTAAGAAGTTTAATAGGGACAGAGCCAAGATCGAACTTTCATAATTTATCCCCACCAATTTTGTCCCCATCAACTTTGCCCTGTGACTAGTAGATTATCTTTCCCGATTAAGTACAAGCCTGATTTGTCCATTAGATTTCTCCTTATAAAAATAAAATTCACTTTTTTCCCCATGACATTGTTGTCTCCCTCCTCTCTTCACCAACCATGACGTCAAGGGCTGGTTCAAATAAAATCATCAGCCATTTTAAATGTGTACCAACAAAGGAGGGTAATTTATTTTATTCGTGAAACTTGAGTCGTCGTTCCTGTTCAATTCTCAAGTGATCTGTTTTCGTTATTACTTCCCTTTAAAAGGTAATGGGAATTAAACTGTCAGGCTGTCACAGTTAGACAGCTGGGATTTAGTTGGCTGAAGGTCTCTACTTGATGTGGCTTGATGTGGCTACACTTACCCAGGTATCGAAGCTACTCAAGATCTGACAATAACGATGATCCTTAACATTGCCCTGATCCATAGCCCAACCCTAACCCTGGCCCAAAACAGCGAAAGTAGCAGGGTGAAAAAGCTCGATACACGCTGTATTCGATACCCGCTCTATTCTATACCTGCTGTATTTGATACCCAGTGTGCACTATATCCACAAGATTTAGTTGGCTGTACATCTCTACTTGATGTGGCTAGAGCTGGCATTAGGGTTAATGTTTAACCGATTCGATTTCATGTTCAGCATGACGTTCGCATAGTTTTTTTTCGCTGGGAGTTTTAAGCTAACATCATTATATAGGCAATATATATATATATATATATATATATATATATATATATATATATATATATATATATATATATATATATATATACACTTACATATACACATACATGAACATATAAATACATATATAGGTACATATTTTAATACATTCATGTACACATATACTCATACACGAACTTACATAGATACACAGGCATATACACATAAACACTTGCACATAAATACACACTCATACAGACATACACATATTCAAACAGTGTACTCAAACAAACATACATACACATGTATACATGCATACACCTAAACATAGACCTACACTACATGTCCATATGTATCTTTAGAAACACAACACCAATTAGGAGGAAATAAATATTTATTGCCATTAAACACAGCTGGTATGAACAATGTGTGGATGATATGGATACATTGTTTCTTTCAGGTATCTCTCATGACTAAATAGAAAAAATATACAATGTATATGTCCGACCCCCTCCCCTAAGTATCAAGTGCTCCTCCATGGAGAAAGCGCCTGAAAGAAATCCTGTATGGATATGGTGGAGCAATGAATGGATGAGTGGATACAGTGGACATATAGTGGATATACGGCGAATGTGGTGGAGTATTTAACAAACTTGATGAGGAACAAAATGAAGCTGTAGACAAACACCATTCTTAAATAATATTATTAATACAACACTAGATACATACACATGGAATATATATATATATATATATATATATATATATATATATATATATATATATATATATATATATATATATATAAGTCAAACATATTCGCAGTTTCTAAATGTTGCCAGATTATTTTTTTAAATCAACAGATCAGTTTATACTTTAGAAATCCGACCAGTCATGCTTCATCACGTGATCATGTCACGCCACTCAACAATGTATATGTTTGAATGTTTGGTGAATTAAACCCATCAACTTCATCAAATCGATTGGTAGTTTACTTTTGTAGGTCTGACACAGCTTACGCTGAATTTAAAACCATCCTGAAATTTGCCAGATAAAATTTTTTGCATCACACATTAAAAATACTGTAAACATTTAAAAATTTAATTGTTTCAAATATTAAATTTTCCTTTTTTTTATTGTTTCAATACATTATGTTGCAATGTAAGCTACTCTGTAATGGATAAAGAAAGCTCGTCTTGATGAAAGGTAATGTAAAGCTGATGATGGTTATTACAATTATTACTATGATTAAAATTTATGATAAAATTTATTGTTGATAAACTACTGGTGGTGAAAACTAATGTTGATAAAAACTGCTGTTGATAAAAGCTACTGTTGATAAAAGCTACTGTTGATAAAAGCTACTGTTGATAAAAGCTACTGTTGATAAAAGCTACTGATGATAAAAGCTACTGTTGATAAGAGTTACTGTTAATAAAGCTACTGTTGATAAAAGTTACTGTTGTTAAAGCTACTGTTGATAAAAATTACCGATCAACCTACCGCTATAAGACCAGGCAATAGAGACCAAAAACTCAGGTTAGGGACCAGTTCTCTCCCCGTGCCCTTAGTTCTGACATAGTTCACCATCATTCCCCCGGAGAAGTACACAAATAGCAGGACAAAAAATCTGGAATTCAAACATGGAATTGTTTCTTAAAAATACAGTCTTAGACGTAAAGGTTTGCAATTGTAGCTTGTGTATAGGTGTGTAAGTAGGCGACCCTATATAGGCTAAACAAGCGTGACGTCATTTCTGGATGGAACTTTTGTGATAATTCCAAGAGGTGTATCGAAGCTACAATTTCCCAGGTATCGAAGTTACAATTACCCAGGTATCGAAGCTACACAAGACCTGCCTATTAACATGATCCTTAACATTGCCCTAAAAAAGCTCGATACCCGCTGTATTAAATACATGTTCTATTCAATATCCACTGTATACTATATCCACAATATTCGATACCCACAGTATTGCCGTAATGCAGTCCGTGAAGCACAAGATTGCGTCTAATGTCTACCACCCCCCCATCTCACCCCCCCCCCCCCCCACCCCCATCCAACACACAACTTTAGATCTCTGCTTTCAACTTACATAATGAGCATGATAGATCCAGGGGTCAAGGAAGAACCATCTGGAATCGGATCTGTTCTTTTGCAAGTGTTTGCACATGCGCAGTTGGACCATAAATTCATAGACTGGAGAAGGCACAAACATTTTTAAAATAAACAGAAATAAATATTAGTACAAACTAAACTTCCTAATTTAGATATTCGAGCAAAAACTTTAATCCAACTTCAAAGTTTTTGTCGTGAAATGGCCAGAACTTTGAATGCCAGAGTTTTGGTTCATTGATTGATTTTTTTTTTACCAGCGACCATCACGTGCTGGTGAAGAAATCACGAGTTCAGTGAGGTTGAGTGTGACCTAGTGTGGTCTAGTGTGGTTGCGTGTGGTCTAGTGTGGTTTAGTGTGGTTTAGTTTGGTTTAGTGTGGTCTAGTGTGGTTTAGTGTGGTTTACTTTGGTTCAGTGTGGTTTAGTGTGGTTTAGTTTGGTTTAGTGTGGTCTAGTGTGGTTTAGTGTGGTTTACTTTGGTTCAGTGTGGTTTAGTGTGGTCTAATGTGGTTTAGCGTGGTTTAGTTTGGTTTAGTGTGGCTGAGTGTGGCATAGTGTGGTCTAGTTTGGTTTAGTGTGGTTTAGTGTGGTTTAGCGTGGTGTAATGTGGTTTAGTGTGGTTTAGTGTGGTTTAGCGTGGTCTAGTGTGGTTTAGCGTGGTCTAGTGTGGTTTAGCGTGGTGTAATGTGGTGTTCGTGTTGTGGTATTGAGGATCTCACATTTATCTCACAGAGAAAACTCCTCGTTTGCTGCGGGTAAGACATCTATAGACAAATTTAAAAAATAAATAAATAAAAGGGAAATAACAGATGAACTAACCAGTGTCCCTGGAGTGACTTCCCCTATAACATCAAGCTGTGGAGTTGTTTTAGCCGCGTCACAGATAAACATCACTTCCGTTTTTCTGTGGGGTAGAGACAAGATGTGTGGGGTAGAGACAAGATGTGTGGGTTAGAGACAAGATGTGTGGGTTAGAGACAAGATGTGTGGGGTAGAGACAAGATGTGTGGGGTAGAGACAAGATGTGTGGGGGTAGAGACAAGATGTGTGGGGTAGAGACAAGATGTGTGGGGTAGAGACAAGATGTGTGGGGTAGAGACAAGATGTGTGGGGTAGAGACAAGATGTGTCGGGGTAGAGACAAGATGTGTGGGGTAGAGACAAGATGTGTGGGGTAGAGACAAGATGTGTGGGGTAGAGACAAGATGTGTCGGGGTAGAGACAAGATGTGTGGGGTAGAGACAAGATGTGTGGGGTAGAGACAAGATGTGTGGGGTAGAGACAAGATGTGTGGGGTAGAGACAAGATGTGTGGGGTAGAGACAAGATGTGTGGGGGTAGAGACAAGATGTGTGGGGGTAGAGACAAGATGTGTGGGGTAGAGACAAGATGTGTGGGGTAGAGGTAAGGTGTGTGGTGTAGAGACAACATGTGTGGGGTAGAGACAAGATGTGTGGGGTAGAGACAAGATGTGTGGGGGTAGAGACAAGATGTGTGGGGTAGAGACAAGATGTGTGGGGTAGAGACAAGATGTGTGGGGGTAGAGACAAGATGTGTGGGGTAGAGACAAGATGTGTGGGGTAGAGACAAGATGTGTGGGGTAGAGACAAGATGTGTGGGGTAGAGACAAGATGTGTGGGGTAGAGACAAGATGTGTGGGGTAGAGACAAGATGTGTGGGGGTAGAGACAAGATTAGTGGGGTAGAGACAAGATGTGTGGGGTAGAGGTAAGGTGTGTGGTGTAGAGACAACATGTGTGGGGTAGAGACAAGATGTGTGGGGTAGAGACAAGATGTGTGGGGTAGAGACAAGATGTGTGGGGTAGAGACAAGATGTGTGGGGGTAGAGACAAGATTAGTGGGGTAGAGACAAGATGTGTGGGGTAGAGACAAGATGTGTGGGGGTAGAGACAAGATGTGTGGGGGTAGAGACAAGATGTGTGGGGTAGAGACAAGATGTGTGGGGTAGAGACAAGATGTGTGGGGTAGAAACAAGATGTGTGGGGTAGAGACAAGATTAAATTTTATAGCTGTAAATAAATCAACCAATCAAACGGCGTGAGGTGTCGAGTTACGCAATCTCAGAGGTCTTGGGTTCCTCGGATATTTCTCTCCGTAAATAATTAATTTTTACTAAAGTTCATAGTTCACAGGCTACAGGCTTGTGTGTGGCCATCATTTCTATTGGACTTGGATACAGGCATACAGCACCGTTATCCAACCAATAAATTTGGTCTAGTTCAGTTGTTTACAACTTGACTGAGGGCAAAGATCAAAGGTCACGTGAGACTTACTTGCCGTCTGATGTGGTGTACGTCACCATGGGGTAGAAGCCAGTGTAGGACCACACGGCTGTCGTCTGCTTGCCCATCAAAGAGTAGTCCGATCCGACTTTTTTACACGCCTGAATTAATGATACATATGGGAGAATGGTTAGATTCATGGTTAGATTCATGGCTTTACTTTCGTTGGTTTACTGAGTTAGATTCATGACTTTACTTTTAGATTCATGAATTTACTTATTTAGATTCATGGCATTACTTATTTACATTTATGACGTTACTTATTTAGATTCATAGCTCTACTTTAAGATTTAGGATTTACTTATTTAGATTCATATTTACATTTATGGGTTTAATTAGTTAGATTCGTGGCTTTACTTATTTAAAATTAAATTTATTTAAATCTCGTGAAACTTGGGTATGATCACACGAAGATGCTACCATTCAAAGTTAGAGAGGTTCAAGAGACATAATTAGACAACAAATTATGCCTGAATCATCTGAGACAACTCTATTGTTGATGAATTACTTCCCTTGACCTAGCAAAGACTCACCGCCGCGTTTGGACACCCGCCAACGCTGAACTCAAAACACGGGTTGTAGGAGTAGGTGTTGCGGTCAAAGGCGGAGAACACGTCTGGGAACCTGGGGGGACAACAGTTGTGGGAATAGTTGGTGGTCACACAATACGTGTGGGAATAGTTGGTGGTGACACAATACGTGGGTGAATAGTTGGTGGTGATTCAATAATAGTGTGAATAGTTAGTGGTGATACAATAATGGTGTCAATAATGTTAGTAGTGACTCAACAATTGAATGAAAATTTGTGGTGACACAATTATTGTGTGAATAGTGGTGACACAATAATTGTGTTAATAATGTTAGTAGTGACTCAATAATTGAGTGAATGTTAGTGGTGACTCAAAAATTGTGTGAACGGTAGCATTATAACTGTGAATAATTTTTTTTGTTTATAGAGAGCATGTCTACTAAGTGATGTGTATCTTTACAAGTGAATACAGCTATTGAAGTGTAACATTACACATAAGGTATACCATCGCTACTGAGCTTTTAGAAAACCATCATTCAACGAACTACATGTGTTGTGGTGTGTCACGACTCGTGTTTTTGCTTGTGTGTAACGGATCGTGTTGTGTGTAACGACTCGTGTTGTGTGTAATTGCTCGTGTTGTTCTGTTGTATCTAACGGCTAGTGTTGTTGAAAGTGACGGATCGTGTTGTGTTGTGTGTAACGTTTCGTGTAGTATGTCACGACTCGTGTAGTGTGTACCAACTCGACAAATAAAAAAACGTTACCCAGCGGTGCCGTCCTGTTTCCCCAGACTGCTGACGTCAACAGTTCCAGAGCCGTCACTGAAGACACACCTGCACGGCCCCTTCCCATCGCAAGACAATGACGTCACCGGCTGGACCAGCCCAGCCCCCAGGACCAGGACACAAAATGTCGTGAGACCACAACAAGCCGTCATGGTCTCGGTTGTTCTTGTCACGTGACTCCCTGAACTCCTGACTAAATCTTCTCGCTGAAGTATATCACAACACTGACTGGCTAAATGTCAACACTGACTGACTAAATGACAGTACTGACTGGCCAAATGTCAACATGGACTGAGCAAATGACACAGATGAAGAGGGAATGCCCGTTCTGTTTTTATCGCCCACACAGCTAACTCTAATGATGTGCATCTGCAAATCGATCCTGATATCTACGCTGATGTAGATAACACACTTGTATATCGAACATATTTGATTCGATCATCTGATAACAACGAATAACCATCTATATATTTTAACCTTTGAGTTCAATTGTACTATAACCATTGTGGCTATTTTAACGTGACGTCACTAGTGTAAAGGGCTAGTCATCTCCTGGCGTGTCGGACATACCTAGCCATAAAAATATCACAAAATCAACTTTTACGATTCTTTACCTTTCTTTAAGATAAATTGTATTCAACCGAAATTTGGGGTATAGTTATGGTTATATTAATTCCACAAGCGCCGTTATTTAAATTTAAACGTGGTTATTTTGAGTTTGAAAAAAAATAAAATCGACATCATCTTAGGCTTTGACACATGATTTGGTTGCACGATCTATCAGGGCCTATGTCTAGATTTTATTGTTTTTAAAAACTTTTATTGAAAGGCGGGAAATACAGTTACATCTGATACATTTATTCACCTGTGTGGACGTCATAAATGAATGCCCCCTATATTCAAACAGAACTAATAAAAATGGATTAAAGGGAGGTAGCTGCGCAGACACAAAAGCGTCAAAAATAATTTCATTGTTATTTCCCTTTGACCATCGCGTAGCGGATGGTTTTTTTATTTTATTTTTTTATTTTTTTTTTATTTTTTTCTTGTTCTCTGGCTCATTTTAGAAAATGGTTTATGGAAAAGATTTTTTAAATTAATAAATTACAGCCAGGATATGCTGTGTTTATTAAACAGATAATTAAGGGGAAACAATTTGTACCATCATAGTACGTAGAAAACATTTACATTGTTATTTCCCTTGGAAAGTAGGTAAACGTTTTTAAAATCGGTATGTAATCTATATAGTTCTTTTTTTTAAAGCATGTTATTGATAAAATATTTTTTAAATATGCAGTTTTCTTTTTTTGTTTTTGTTGTTGTTGTTGAATAAAACAAAACTGTTCAGAGAATGTTAAGAGTTCGTCAGCTTACTAAATAAAATACACCAGGGGAAGTAATTTATACTCTTCACAAAACTCTGAAAACATTTTCATTGTTGTTTCCCTTTGACCGTAGAGTTAATTGTTTAAAGAATTATGATGCGTTTTTTTTAAATATATCAATGTATTTTAATCTACATTTTAAAGTATAAGCTTACTATATTTATTTAAAAATCTAAGATGTCTTTGGTTTATTATCTTTAGTGTACAGTTTTATTGCAGGTAATAAAAAACCGTTTAAAAAGGTTGTAGGTATCGAAGCTAATTAACTAAACAAAAACTTAAGGGAAGCTATCTCTACTTATGCTGGAAAGTAAGAAATATTTGCATTGTTATTTCCCTTTGACCGTAATTTCTTAACTTTTTTGCGCACCATTTACTTTTCATATCCCTCTGATTTTACATTTGTTTATTGAAAGCCTGTTGTTTCAAACTTAAACCAGCAAACTGTTAACGATTTTCTTGCAAATCTTCTTATATTGGAACAAAAAAGTACTCTTTGTACTTAAGATTTTAAATTAAATATTGTTGCATTGTCTTTAGATTGCAGAAATACATTTTTAGGGCAATATAATAAGCAACCTATTTATTATATATGAGTATTATATATGAGTATTATAATCTATCTCAGGGGTCGGCAACCTGCGGCTCGCGAGCCGCATGCGGCTCTATTAATGTCAGGATGCGGCTCGCCAGTTATTATATTATTTTATTTTCATAATTCATAAAAATATTATACTGTAAAAAAAACAACTTTAAACAAAATAAAAACTGAGAATTGGTGGAATAGATGTGACCAGCCCTTTGGCAGTGGTTCCATGCTTTCCACTACCTAAGTGCACATTTAAATTTTTTTTCTAATATTTTGAATTGTTGTTTTTTTTTTTTTTGTTCAGAAGGCATTTTTTGATGTGCATTAATTTGATTTGAGTGACAGTTTTTTTTAGTTATTTGCTTCTAACTTGGGTAGGGATAGTGCTATGGTTATATAATTTGATTTTATTATCCGAGCAGAACTAGCTAAAATACTTTATGTTCTGTGCTAAAAATTGTATGTTTTTATATGAATAAATAGTATTTCATACTTAAGCACATGTTTTTTAAATATATTTACCTAATCGTAATCAAATACCATAATATTGAAAAAATAAAATTGTTAGTGGCTCTTTAAAAACTGGGAGATTTTACAAATTGTAACTTTAGGCTCTTCCGCCACACAATGTTGCCGACCCCTGATCTATTTCATTTCTAAAAATATATTTCTGTATATCTTTACAATAATGTTGTGAACATTTTACTATAAAGACCAGGCTTGTACAATTCATGTCCATTTAGGCTATTGGTTTAGTATTTCTTATAAACAGTAAAGATCAAATCCTTTGATGATTTTTACTGGTTTTCAAGACTAGTTTTATTTATAAAAATATTTAGATATTGATTATTTAAGTGAAGCATAAAATTTAAAATTTAACAATCCTGAAAGCAAAATAGAAAAATTTTAAAACCCTTTAAACTTTGTGTTCATCTCAGTAATATTTTTATAATTGACAATCACTTATTACATGTTTAATTCATCTCATGTTCAATATACAATCATTTAGTGGTGCAACGCAACTTATTCTTTTGTCAAAATAATTTAATCTTCAAGGGATTATGGAAATTCTGAAAAATCTCACGAGGTCATTCAGTTTGCCTGAGATGTTTTTTTTCCATTACTTTTTGTTCCTATTTACTGAATACTAATGTCCAAATATTTTCTCAAAAATTCTTTTAATTTTGTAGGCAGCTTTTCAACTGGAAGTTTAAGTATTTGCATTTTATATTTACATTAAAATTTTGATCATAATTTTTTACCAACCATCATTTAGTCCAGGTACCATTCACTCAAAAAACAAAAGGAAAAATATTTTAATGGCATTTATTCAAATGCAAAAACAAAATAAGTCCATTCATCTACTGCTGTTACAATACAACACAATGAAATGTTATTTGAATGAATTTGAATTGACCATGGCAGTAAAACAAAATATCTCGAATGTAATGCAATGAATTTGTTATGTCCTACTTCATGTATTTAATAATTACATTTTTATTTTTAAAAATATCAAACAGCTGCTAATCAAATTTACTGTAATAAAATCATTACTGGATATCAATGCTTAGCTAGGCAAAAAACAGGGTGCATAAAAATTGATTTTTTTTTTTTAAATATTAAAAATAAACATTTCATTAAAAAAATCAAGAATCCATTGAATGCTGTTGTATTGTTATATTCAGAGAAACCAGCTGAATATGAATCACCAAGGAAATCACCAAGCAAAACACACAATGCTGAAATAAATTGAGGGGAGAAAACTGATGACCCTTCATCAACAATATTTTATAATTATTTATTTACCTTAACAACAAAGAGTACAAAAAAAACCCTAAGTAACATTTTGATTTACTAAAAAGAAATAACTAATTCGTTTAAATTTTCTGGGTAATCTTGAAGAAAAACTAAGCTTCCTGAGTGATTTAATCTTTCTCTTGAAATGTGTAGATCTTCAAGCTTTTTAAAACTTTGACTCAACTTCTGTTAACACAAAAATATACCACACATCAAGTTCCCACAAAGAGCAGGAATTGATCCAACATTTAAATCTAATATTTTGACTATAAAATATTGAATCTCATATAACTGGCACCATTCTTAGCAAACATAAATAAACAGCTTGAAGAGGACTTACAGTAAAACATGATAACAGGATTTTTATAGTTCACCTCTATAATAGCAAAAGATTCTCCATTAAACTGTTTGAATATTTGTAATTATGGAAATCAAATTTTAACCAGTATCACATAACAGAAGTGTAGTAGTGTTATATTTACACTTTGTTACAAACTAATAAATAGTAACAACAATCATGATAAACAAACTATTTAACTAGGTTTCTTAAAGTTTTTTATGACATCAAAAATGTTACTTTTTAATCAATCAGGTATATTTTATTTGACAATGTCTAGTAATCCAGACAGCTTTAATTAAACATTTTAACCACAGCTAGACAAAGTAGTTAAAAACTAACTGAACAACAGAAGTAACCTTTATGGTGGATAAGTCTGTATAACAGAAGTGAACACAGAAATCAAGTGCGGGTAACTCTAAAAAATTTTAATCCTCTTTAATAGAAGATCAAATATGTCCAGCTTCTGTCCCTACTTTTTATTTTCTACTGAAGTATCCAGGACTACATAAAATGAGCCAACAATCAAATATCAGTGTGACAATAGCATTTCTCAATAAAAGCTGCTGGATTTGTCTTGTTACTTCTGATAACTAAAGCCAGCTAGGAACTAGATTCTAGATTGGTAAATAACTTGCAACAGCCCGGAGCAGTCTAAAAAACTAGTTGAGCTAAAACCAGTAGATAAGTATCATAAGATCTTACATTTCTCACTCACTCGTGTATCAGCAAACTTCAGCTTTTAAAATTTTGTAAAACTATAGAGATATGTATACATTTTGTTAAAAAGATTAGCAAAGCTTAGATTGGTAAAAGCTGGAACAATTATCTTCAGCTATCAAACTAAGAAACTCACATCACATATATATTTATGTGTAAAGTTGTTATAAAACAAAGCAGTCATTTTTCAAAAACAAATCACAATAAAAATTTCTAATTAACTGTAGTGAAAAATTTTGCATGAATAATTCATTAGTGATATGATTAATTTATTTTTTTCCCTTTTAATGATATAATTAACATAAAATGTCAAAAAAAAAATATTTATACAGCCCAAAAATCAGTGACACTGGTGTCTAAAGGGACGACATGGTCTATGTTGGAAACTATATTCCCTCAAAGGACCAAAAACCTGTGTGCAGAATATATGTAGTGTACATGGTGCTCTCAAAATGCTAATATAAGACTGGGTGACACAATCACTGTGATGCAAGTTGACAACTACCCATTACAAAGCTTAGAGGGAACATAGGTTGGAAAATACATTTGGGGAAAGTTATTCATAAACCACTCCCCCCCCCCCCACCCCATTTATACATGACCAGTGTACTTCTTACTGCTGTCACCAGCATTAATAATTGTATGCATCAAAAGACTACAGTGGACATGATTGTTCATTAAGGTATTTATAGCTTTTTTTTGCAGAATTTATGTTAACTAAATTTATTTAACTCCAATAACACACATTTAATGATAATTTTGAGAAAAAGTAATTTTAAGTATCAACTTTTTGCTGTAGAAATAAAAAAACAGAACAGTGGCTTTAAAGTTAGTTCACACTATGGAAAGACCTTGCAATGTTACTGACTAGCATGATATAAAAACTAAAATTACTTGAGCGAATAAATACTGAATCACCTAGCTAGATCAAATACAATATACATATAATACACACTATATAATACACACTATGTAACACACTACAAATGTTGGGCAGCAGATCAACTACTAGTTTATCTAATCATCACCATATAATCATGGTCTAATCATCACCATATAATCATGGTCTACTCATCTCCATATAATCATGGTCTAATCATCGCTTTATAATCATGGTCTAATCACCTCTATATAATCATGGTCTAATCATCTCCATATAATCATGGTCTAATCACCTCTATATAAATATAATCACAGGTTCTAAAGTTTAAATTTAAAGACAGAACAAGCTGTCTGTACCTTATTTCAATGACAGTCAACATGTGCTGTCTGTCTCTTAAAGACAGTCACAATGGCTGTCTATATCTTGAAGACATTCAGTTTATGTTGTCCTCCCCTCTAAGTAATGCTGGTTTAAAGTTCCGTGACAAAAAGTCAACAAGTTGAGAACAGCTTATCCCTCTCCCTTAGTTCTGATACACAAACTAGTTTTATTTTATTATCTACATAGATCAAAATAAATAACAGGAGAAAATGATTGAATAACCAACTTTACAAATATGTACAAACAAGCCAGACTATCAAATTACATATGTACATAAACTGCAAGTTTCATTTCATTTATATGTAACAAGTATCAAATGTTCTCTAGATGAATTCACAGAGATGTTTTGACATCACTGACTATCTTAATACCACTAAAGGGATGCTAGACATCTATCCTAAACATCATCAACATGGGAACTAGAAATCTAAGGATAATAACATGTACAAGATTTAAACCACGCAAGTTTTAATCATTTATTTTATCACTGATTTCAATGTTAAAATGCTATCAAAGTACTATTCTGCTCTTTATATGAAATATTTGAAAAAAAAAAATATGTATTAATTAGCTGCTGCTAAATTATTATAATTTACCATTTTAAAAAATCTGTTGTTTTTTTTAAATCAGTGGTAAAACACAATACTGACTTCTTTATGTTTCACTAAACAGTTTAAAACAGTTCCCAAGTGTTGTTATATATTATATCAACCACCATAAATTTAAAAAAGCCTATTAAAATACCTACTTTACATGAGTGGAATAATTAGATGAGTTGATGAATGAATCAAAGCAACCATAGTTTTGAATGAAAGACAATTCTGTGCATTTCCAACTAAGGCTTGGTGTATTTCTTTCAAACAAAGCAACACATCGAATTTGATGCATATATCGTAATCATTCATAGAAAAGTAAACAAAATAAGCTTTCAACTTCCAATAAAAAATGTTCTGGTTATTGTGAAATAAATGAGCAGCAGTTTTAAAATAAAGTCGTTCTATTTACACTCAAAACATCCACAAACAAAATCTACTTTGTGATGGAGAATAAAATGATGAATAAAAAGGTAAACAAATTAAGTTGGAACTATATACCAGTGACACAGTCTAAGGCCACGTAATATAAGCTCACAGGCGGTTGAACCACTTGACACTTTGTCCAGTGCTATAAGAACCTGACAGGTGGCTGAACCACTTGACATCTTGTAATGCATCAACCTGACAGGCGGTTGAACCACCTGACAGGCGGTTGAACCACCTGACACAGTTGAACCTGTGCTGTAGTGTACTGATCACATGTGAAAATATAATCCATAGAAAACCAGCAACAAGAGAAATGCTATCTTTGCTAAGATCTGTAGATCTTTATCACATCCTGGATTATCTGTCTACAGATGGGGCAGAGTCCTTTCTCATTACGGATAGTGGTGGCACAGTCAAAACACAGACACATGTGTCCGCAGGTGTAGAGCACACAGTTGATGGTCTGCTCCCAGCAAACCTTGCAGTCTGACGCCCCATCCTCCTGCGGGATGTTTGGTGAGAGGGGGGTCGTGGGGAGAGATTTGGGGTGCAGACCAAACCGGAGCCCATCACCAGATTCTTGCACAGGTGAGATGCAGGTGACAGGCACACTGTTGCTCCTTAAGACGTGCGCAGGTAGGGACATGGGCCCTGAGCCACCAGCTGGAGGCATAGCTACAGCCAGGGCCGCGTTGGCAAAGGCGGAACCAAGTTCATTGAATGATGACGCCCCTCCAGTAGTTGGTAAGCTGCTGGTGTAGTTGGTGAAGGACTGTGAGCGAGCCAGACGACCTTGAATTGGGGTCATCGTTGTTCCTGTGGGCAAAATCAGATTGATATATTAGGGGATCAACATAGGAGATCAAATGTTGTGAATTTCAAAGATAAAAAATGGTAAATATCAAAGAACAAAAACAGTAAATATCAAAGATCAAAAACTGTAAATATCAAAGATCAAAAATTGTAAATTTCAAAGTACAAAAACTGTAAATATCAAAGATAAAAACTGTAAATATTGAAGGTGAAAATTGTAAATATCAAAGATTAAAAATTTTACAAATATAAAAAAAGTATGTATCAACGATGGTAAATTGTATATGTTTAAGATTTTTTTTAAATTGAATACTGTATAGAGGCTAAAGTTAAAATGTTACTGAAGGATCTACACAAAAACTCTGCCTTATCTTAGCATGAGGCAATAAATAAAACCCTACCAATGAGTTTAATTTTTTGAATGTTGCCGTACACATCAAAGAAAGCCCACAATGGAAGTGTACGGTCTACGTGCATCAACGTAACAGGAGCTTGGTTGTTGCGTGCATATTTTACTTCACCTAAAGATAAGAAGGTATAATTGTATTTTAAATGTCACATGTAAAAAAAATAGTGTTACAATAAAAATATTCATACTTCTATATTATCCTATGTAAAATAACCTTTACATGCCAATCCCATGATTACATACCAACCACAGGCCAATCCCATGACTACATACCAACCACAGGCCAATCCCATGATTACATACCAACCACAGGCCAACCCCATGACTACATACCAACCACAGGCCAATCCCATGATTACATACCAACCACAGGCCAACCCCATGACTACATACCAACCACAGGCCAATCCCATGATTACATACCAACCACAGGCCAACCCCATGACTACATACCAACCACAGGCCAATCCCATGATTACATACCAACCACAGGCCAACCCCATGACTACATACCAACCACAGGCCAACCCCATGACTACATACCAACCACAGGCCAACCCCATGACTACATACCAACCACAGGCCAATCCCATGACTACATACCAACCACAGGCCAACCCCATGACTACATACCAACCACAGGCCAATCCCATGATTACATACCAACCACAGGCCAATCCCATGATTACATACCAACCACAGGCCAACCCCATGATTACATACCAACCACAGGCCAATCCCATGACTACATACCAACCACAGGCCAACCCCATGACTACATACCAACCACAGGCCAATCCCATGATTACATACCAACCACAGGCCAACCCCATGATTACATACCAACCACAGGCCAATCCCATGATTACATACCAACCACAGGCCAATCCCATGATTACATACCAACCACAGGCCAATCCCATGATTACATACCAACCACAGGCCAACCCCATGATTACATACCAACCACAGGCCAATCCCATGATTACATACCAACCACAGGCCAATCCCATGATTACATACCAACCACAGGCCAATCCCATGATTACATACCAGATTCAGTTAAATAAAAGCTGAGTTCATCCCCAACTTCAGGATTTCTACAAACATCTTTGTTGACCACCCAGTACTCCAGCCTGTCCAAGAGAAGATCCGAGTCATCTGGTAGGGTATTGGGGTCAACTTTGGAAGGGTCACAGGCAGTTAGTCCAAATCCCAGTCCACCAATGTAGGAGCGGTCAATGCCCAAAACCTGTACACAACAGAGGGAGTGACAGTTTACTGGTATGGTCAATTATATACACAATTTGTACATACCTGGTGTGATGTAGAGTAACAAAGGGAAAGTTAATTACATTATTAAAAAAGAAAAAAAATTCAGATTAGATCAACAGAGGATTTACACACCTGGGTGACTATATGTGAGATATGTACACACCTGGATGACTATATGTGAGATATGTAAACAAGTGGAGTGTACACACCTGGGTGACTATATGTGAGATATGTAAACAACACACCTGGATGACTATATGTGAGATATGTAAACAACACACCTGGATGACTATATGTGAGATATGTAAACAAGTGGAGTGTACACACCTGGATGACTATATGTGAGATATGTAAACAACACACCTGGATGACTATATGTGAGATATGTAAACAAGTGGAGTGTACACACCTGGGTGACTATATGTGAGATATGTAAACAACACACCTGGATGACTATATGTGAGATATGTAAACAAGTGGAGTGTACACACCTGGATGACTATATGTGAGATATGTAAACAAGTGGAGTGTACACACCTAGATGACTATATGTGAGATATGTAAACAAGTGGAGTGTACACACCTGGGTGACTATATGTGAGATATGTAAACAACACACCTGGATGACTATATGTGAGATATGTAAACAACACACCTGGATGACTATATGTGAGATATGTAAACAAGTGGAGTGTACACACCTGGGTGACTATATGTGAGATATGTAAACAACACACCTGGATGACTATATGTGAGATATGTAAACAAGTGGAGTGTACACACCTGGATGACTATATGTGAGATATGTAAACAAGTGGAGTGTACACACCTGGATGACTATATGTGAGATATGTAAACAGGTGGAGTGTACACACCTGGGTGACTATATGTGAGATATGTAAACAACACACCTGGATGACTATATGTGAGATATGTAAACAAGTGGAGTGTACACACCTGGGTGACTATATGTGAGATATGTAAACAAGCAGGGTCTACACACCTGGATGACTATATGTGAGATATGTAAACAAGCAGGGTCTACACACCTGGATGACTATATGTGAGATATGTAAACAAGCGGGGTCTACACACCTGGATGACTATATGTGAGATATGTAAACAAGTGGAGTGTACACACCTGGATGACTATATGTGAGATATGTAAACAAGTGGAGTGTACACACCTGGGTGACTATATGTGAGATATGTAAACAACACACCTGGATGACTGAGATATGTAAACAAGTGGAGTGTACACACCTGGGTGACTATATGTGAGATATGTAAACAACACACCTGGATGACTATATGTGAGATATGTAAACAAGTGGAGTGTACACACCTGGATGACTATATGTGAGATATGTAAACAAGTGGAGTGTACACACCTGGATGACTATATGTGAGATATGTAAACAGGTGGAGTGTACACACCTGGGTGACTATATGTGAGATATGTAAACAACACACCTGGATGACTATATGTGAGATATGTAAACAAGTGGAGTGTACACACCTGGGTGACTATATGTGAGATATGTAAACAAGCAGGGTCTACACACCTGGATGACTATATGTGAGATATGTAAACAAGCAGGGTCTACACACCTGGATGACTATATGTGAGATATGTAAACAAGCGGGGTCTACACACCTGGATGACTATATGTGAGATATGTAAACAAGTGGAGTGTACACACCTGGATGACTATATGTGAGATATGTAAACAAGTGGAGTGTACACACCTGGGTGACTATATGTGAGATATGTAAACAACACACCTGGATGACTATATGTGAGATATGTAAACAAGTGGAGTGTACACACCTGGATGACTATATGTGAGATATGTAAACAAGTGGAGTGTACACACCTGGATGACTATATGTGAGATATGTAAACAGGTGGAGTGTACACACCTGGGTGACTATATGTGAGATATGTAAACAACACACCTGGATGACTATATGTGAGATATGTAAACAAGTGGAGTGTACACACCTGGGTGACTATATGTGAGATATGTAAACAACACACCTGGATGACTATATGTGAGATATGTAAACAAGTGGAGTGTACACACCTGGGTGACTATATGTGAGATATGTAAACAACACACCTGGATGACTATATGTGAGATATGTAAACAACACACCTGGATGACTATATGTGAGATATGTAAACAAGTGGAGTGTACACACCTGGATGACTATATGTGAGATATGTAAACAACACACCTGGATGACTATATGTGAGATATGTAAACACCTGGGTGACTATATGTGAGATATGTAAACAAGTGGAGTGTACACACCTGGGTGACTATATGTGAGATATGTAAACAACACACCTGGATGACTATATGTGAGATATGTAAACAAGTGGAGTCTACACACCTGGATGACTATATGTGAGATATGTAAACAAGTGGAGTGTACACACCTGGATGACTATATGTGAGATATGTAAACAACACACCTGGATGACTATATGTGAGATATGTAAACAAGTGGAGTGTACACACCTGGGTGACTATATGTGAGATATGTAAACAACACACCTGGATGACTATATGTGAGATATGTAAACAAGTGGAGTGTACACACCTGGATGACTATATGTGAGATATGTAAACAACACACCTGGATGACTATATGTGAGATATGTAAACAACACACCTGGATGACTATATGTGAGATATGTAAACAAGTGGAGTGTACACACCTGGATGACTATAGTCTCCCCACATCTAACTGGTCTGCTGGTAAACACAAAAGCATTACAGTACTCCTCCCTGAGCCTGACAGCTATGGTCCTGTCTGTGTTGATTCTGATGTTCTTGCCCTGCAGGGTGTGGAGGTGGAGGGGTGCCAGGGGTATGCCAGCATGGTAGTTGACAGGCAGGCCCGTGGGGGTGCTGGGAGGGTCTGATATAGACATGAATGTGAAGTGGTCTATCTCTGAAGGCTGGGGGCTGGCATCAAATTGTGCTGCGTTGGCTGGAGGTTCAATTTCTGAGGACAAGTCATTCATTTTAGTCGGTGGCAAAAATTTTAAGTAAGAGAGGCAAAGAGATACCAAAAGCTCAAGCATTGAAAGAATCAAAACTGCACTGAAATAGTAAGATGTCTTGTACAGTAGTAAATACAATGTCTTATCCGGTTGATGGCTTATGTTAACTAAATGAGGAAGTGATATAATCATTCATATATATTTCTTACCTACAATCATTTAACACAGTGACACATAGAGACATTAGCACAATTAAAAACAGGGCATTGTTCATTTAGATAAAATATTTTAAGTATTCCAATTAAACAACAATTATATTAAATATATGGAGTTTTGTACGAATTTTAGCATCATCTCAAGCACTATCCTTAAAGGCACGTTCCATGAACTTCCGCTGGCTCAAGCAATGTTTCTAATTCTAATGACTAATGCCAGATTTGTCTTTTCTAGCGATGTCTACACGTCTTTGTTAGCCAATGTCTACACGTCTTTGTTAGCCAATGTCTACACGTCTTTGCTAGCCAATGTCTACACGTCTTTGTTAGCCAATGTCTACAGTCTTTGTTAGCCAATGTCTACACGTCTTTGTTAGCCAATGTCTACACGTCTTTGTTAGCCAATGTCTACACGTCTTTACTAGCCAATGTCTACACGTCTTTGTTAGCCAATGTCTACACGTCTTTACTAGCCAATGTCTACACGTCTTTGTTAGCCAATGTCTACACGTCTTTGTTAGCCAATGTCTACACGTCTTTACAATATGACTAGTTCATGCTTTTGGAAGCACAAGTGCCACTCTGTGCTTTTGGGCATGACACCTTTTTTTGTGTGCACATAGAATATAGATGTGTGGATGACGACCTATGATAGTCTGTAAGAAAAGTGCGCACGTTTTAGTTCAGCCTTGGTCTGATGGTCTAGATGTGGAGGTCACGTGGTTGTGTCATGTCTGGTGTAGGCAGAGGCGTAGCAAGGGGGGCGGGGGGGGGGGGGTGGTGCGGACCGCACCGGGTGACACCATTTAGGGGCGGGGGGGGGGGGGTGACACCAAGGCAAAAAAATAGCAAAATATATAAAGAAAAACTTGAGGGGGGTGCAAATTGAAAGTTCGAGGGGGATGCAAATAGAAAATTTTAAAGTTTGTCCCCGGGACGCCTCTGGGGGTGACACCATTAAGTGCCGCACCGGGTGACACCCGACCTCGCTACGCCACTGGGTGTAGGTGGACAAGTATAGGATATTTGAGCCGTGTCTAGATCGTGAACCTGTAAAGTTGTCTAGATCGTCGTAATAAAAGCAGTCTAGTCCGTGTGCAATCTGTACCATCGTATGATATTCTCATGTCAGTGAACCGTTCAAGTAAAAAGACTGTCGATCTGTGCACCGGTCACGTGCACCGGTCACGTGGTTTAATGTTCAGGGAAGTCATAATGGCCAACACTAAAAGCTAGAACTATTGTGAAGATATGTCAAGTCCATGTCTACACATCTTTAAAATATGTCAAGTCCATGTCTACACATCTTTAAAATATGTCAATGTCTACACATCTTTGAAATATGTCAATGTCTACACATCTTTAAAATATCTCATGTCCATGTCTACATATCATTAAAATATGTCAAGTCCATGTCTACACATCATTAAAATATGTCATGTCCATGTCTACACATCTTTAAAATATGTCAAGTCCATGTTCAGACATCTTTACCTACCTTCAGCACAGGTTAAAAGGAAACCGTGTACCCGTGAAGCGAGTGTACAAGGAAGTGGTGTCAACCCATCCCACCATACCCCGCATGTCAACCATACACACATGCAAATACCAGCCAAGCATTCAGTCGGGACTGTGCTGTGTAGTGAGGGAACTAACCTCGGTGTCGGGGCTACAGGTTACAACAGCTTACGGACAGCCTTTTTAACAATCGACGATTCTCTAATGCGGCATACCAATTATGCTACATTGTGAACCGGTGCAACGTCAACACGGCCCCGTCAAAATAGCCCCGTTAAAAGGGCCTCGACATGTAGGCCCCCGACAAATAGGGCTAACGACGATTGGGCTCCCGACATGTTGGCTACAGACAAATCGGCTCCCGACAAAATATTGAAGTTCTGATGGTAGCCACAAGACAGAGAGATGGTCAAATATTGGAGAGTTCTGATGGTAGCAACAAGAGAGATGGTCAAATATTGGAGAGTTCTGATGGTAGCAACAAGAGAGATGGTCAAATATTGGAGAGTTCTGATGGTAGCAACAAGAGAGATGGTCAAATATTGGAGAGTTCTGATGGTAGCAACAAGAGAGATGGTCAAATATTGGAGAGTTCTGATGGTAGCCACAAGACAGAGAGATGGTCAAATATTGGAGAGTTCTGATGGTAGCAACAAGACAGAGAGATGGTCAAATATTGGAGAGTTCTGATGGTAGCAACAAGACAGAGAGATGGTCAAATATTGGAGAGTTCTGATGGTAGCAACAAGAGAGATGGTCAAATATTGGAGAGTTCTGATGGTAGCTACAACACATAGAGATGGTCAAATATTGGAGAGTTCTGATGGTAGCAACAAGACAGAGAGATGGTCAAATATTGGAGAGTTCTGATGGTAGCAACAAGAGAGATGGTCAAATATTGGAGAGTTCTGATGGTAGCCACAAGACAGAGAGATGGTCAAATATTGGAGAGTTCTGATGGTAGCAACAAGACAGAGAGATGGTCAAATATTGGAGAGTTCTGATGGTAGCAACAAGAGAGATGGTCAAATATTGGAGAGTTCTGATGGTAGCCACAAGAGAGATGGTCAAATATTGGAGAGTTCTGATGGTAGCAACAAGACAGAGAGATGGTCAAATATTGGAGAGTTCTGATGGTAGCAACAAGAGAGATGGTCAAATATTGGAGAGTTCTGATGGTAGCCACAAGACATAGATGGTCAAATATTGGAGAGTTCTGATGGTAGCAACAAGAGAGATGGTCAAATATTGGAGAGTTCTGATGGTAGCAACAAGAGAGATGGTCAAATATTGGAGAGTTCTGATGGTAGCAACAAGACAGAGAGATGGTCAAATATTGGAGAGTTCTGATGGTAGCAACAAGAGAGATGGTCAAATATTGGAGAGTTCTGATGGTAGCAACAAGAGAGATGGTCAAATATTGGAGAGTTCTGATGGTAGCAACAAGAGAGATGGTCAAATATTGGAGAGTTCTGATGGTAGCCACAAGACAGAGAGATGGTCAAATATTGGAGAGTTCTGATGGTAGCAACAAGAGAGATGGTCAAATATTGGAGAGTTCTGATGGTAGCCACAAGACAGAGAGATGGTCAAATATTGGAGAGTTCTGATGGTAGCCACAAGACAGAGAGATGGTCAAATATTGGAGAGTTCTGATGGTAGCAACAAGACAGAGAGATGGTCAAATATTGGAGAGTTCTGATGGTAGCAACAAGAGAGATGGTCAAATATTGGAGAGTTCTGATGGTAGCAACAAGAGAGATGGTCAAATATTGGAGAGTTCTGATGGTAGCAACAAGACAGAGAGATGGTCAAATATTGGAGAGTTCTGATGGTAGCCACAAGACAGAGAGATGGTCAAATATTGGAGAGTTCTGATGGTAGCAACAAGAGAGATGGTCAAATATTGGAGAGTTCTGATGGTAGCAACAAGAGAGATGGTCAAATATTGGAGAGTTCTGATGGTAGCAACAAGACAGAGAGATGGTCAAATATTGGAGAGTTCTGATGGTAGCAACAAGGAAGATGGTCAAATATTGGAGAGTTCTGATGGTAGCAACAAGAGAGATGGTCAAATATTGGAGAGTTCTGATGGTAGCAACAAGAGAGATGGTCAAATATTGGAGAGTTCTGATGGTAGCAACAACACATAGAGATGGTCAAATATTGGAGAGTTCTGATGGTAGCAACAAGACAGAGAGATGGTCAAATATTGGAGAGTTCTGATGGTAGCCACAAGACAGAGAGATGGTCAAATATTGGAGAGTTCTGATGGTAGCAACAAGAGAGATGGTCAAATATTGGAGAGTTCTGATGGTAGCCACAAGACAGAGAGATGGTCAAATATTGGAGAGTTCTGATGGTAGTCACAAGACAGAGAGATGGTCAAATATTGGAGAGTTCTGATGGTAGCAACAAGAGAGATGGTCAAATATTGGAGAGTTCTGATGGTAGCAACAACACATAGAGATGGTCAAATATTGGAGAGTTCTGATGGTAGCAACAAGACAGAGAGATGGTCAAATATTGGAGAGTTCTGATGGTAGCCACAAGACAGAGAGATGGTCAAATATTGGAGAGTTCTGATGGTAGCAACAAGAGAGATGGTCAAATATTGGAGAGTTCTGATGGTAGCCACAAGACAGAGAGATGGTCAAATATTGGAGAGTTCTGATGGTAGTCACAAGACAGAGAGATGGTCAAATATTGGAGAGTTCTGATGGTAGCCACAAGACAGAGAGATGGTCAAATATTGGAGAGTTCTGATGGTAGCAACAAGGAAGATGGTCAAATATTGGAGAGTTCTGATGGTAGCAACAAGAGAGATGGTCAAATATTGGAGAGTTCTGATGGTAGCAACAAGACAGAGAGATGGTCAAATATTGGAGAGTTCTGATGGTAGCAACAAGAGAGATGGTCAAATATTGGAGAGTTCTGATGGTAGCAACAAGACAGAGAGATGGTCAAATATTGGAGAGTTCTGATGGTAGCAACAAGACAGAGAGATGGTCAAATATTGGAGAGTTCTGATGGTAGCCACAAGACAGAGAGATGGTCAAATATTGGAGAGTTCTGATGGTAGCAACAAGACAGAGAGATGGTCAAATATTGGAGAGTTCTGATGGTAGCTACAACACATAGAGATGGTCAAATATTGGAGAGTTCTGATGGTAGCAACAAGAGAGATGGTCAAATATTGGAGAGTTCTGATGGTAGCAACAAGACAGAGAGATGGTCAAATATTGGAGAGTTCTGATGGTAGCCACAAG